TTATTGTCAGGAAGATTTTATTCTCAGAGGGGAGCGGGGGCGGTGATCGGCGAATAAAAAGTGAATAGCAAGAATGGGTGGGGGCTGTTTATGAGCAACTGCCAACAATTGGAGGATGAAATACGTCTAGTGATAGCAATGTATACCATTTTCTTGAAACAAAAATCGCAGACTTGAGCGAATAGGGGTGCGACCTTTTCGTTGGGCCACACTTTATAGGTTCAGCCAAGGGTTTATCTTCAACACACAATGTTTTTTGAGTAAAAGTTCAAAAATTCAATTCAATTTCAGGTTAGCATTTGGATTTATAATTTGCATGTTGCCGATAATACGCATCAGTAGGCTGATACTTTCACTTGAAGTAATTCACTTCGTATTTATCCAATTTGTAAATGTATCAGAATAAAAATTACGAGTTAATTTTACGTAATAGGTATATTAAAGATAAATAAAAAATACTGTGCATGATACTGTATTGTGTAAAATACCGAATTTGAGGCAGCATCCTGATGTTTCATGATATAAAGAAAAACGAAGAGAGAAAAGCTACGTGTTATTTCTGTTGGTCTGTCTGTGGCCATTGAGGGCTACCAGTGCAATTACTCTGCGGTCCCTCGGTGAAACTGTATACTATTGAAAAAAAAAATTAAAAACTCATGGCTATCTGCGGCTTGATGAAAGCTTGTTTCGTGGGAGGCACTATAAGGCCGATTTTCCTACGTCTACCACATATTCAAAATCAGCGTCCCAAATTACCCCAACGTACCGGGCTTCGTTCTATTGCTGTCGATATATTTTGTCAATCAGAGTCCCAAATTATGTCAACGTACCGAGTTCCGTTTACTTGTAGGTGCGAGGATGAAAATGGAAATTTTGCGCGTTACGTATTCCATATCAAAAACAAATTTTCCAAAAGTTCTCGTGTATATGAAATTTCGACCACAACCCCTTTCTAGAGTAAGTCTGGTACGTAGATACCGAATATTAAAATTCGAAGATACACGAAACTGATTAGAATTTAGCCAGAATTCTAGCAATCGCGACAAAAACACATCGCTCATGTAAATCAGGTGCTCAAATCACGCCATTTCCCATTTTCGTACTCGCAAATAGGTTTTCGCAGTACTTTAGCATGTTTATAGCAATATTGAAAATCAGCGTCATTACGTCAGTGCACCGAATTTAATTAGCATGTAACGTAAGTACGGGTGACGGTAATGAGAATTATATGTTGAAAAACTTTAAAATTCAAAGGAATATTAAGAAAAAATTTCGAAATCGTTTGTGTAACTACAATCGTGCAATTTCGACAAAACCATGTCTCTTGGATAAATCTGGTACATAGATCTCAAATCTGATGACAGGGATCATAACTCCCTAAAAAAGCCATTTTCCTACTCCAAATATCGTTACCCTAAGGTACCGAATGTCATAACCTTGTATCAACAGTAGTTAAAAATGGAAACTATTTTGCATTTCGTAATTAAATAATAAAGCAATACTGAACAAAATAAAAAAATCATGTATATCTGCAATCTGGACCAAACCCATTTGTTGGGTAACCTGGATGTGCAGACGATAAATATCCGGTCAGTTTTTCGCTGAGATAGACAGAAGCCGCTAAAAATCCTATTTTCTACTCCAAATAGAGCTTCATAATATTTCGACATTCCCTGATGGCCATACTCGAAATCAGGGTCCCAAATGACCGCAACATACCGACAGTTATTTGCTTCTTACAATGGTAGACGCAAATCGAGATATTACATTGTGAAGCTTCAAACAGTTATTAAGCATAAAGCAAACTCTACACCAAGTGATGACCACAGGATACCAACAGTACCGTAGAAAAGATATAATAACTATATGACATGTAAATGACGATTAAAATTTAAAAGCAATTAACTGTTAAGTAAGTAGGTAAACTTTCACCAGCTATCTTCACACATCTAGAAGCATGAAAAAGGATGGTGTTTTAATGAAGCAGGTAATTTTTATTTTTGACTCGTACAGAATAGCTAAAAAGGATAGTTGGTAAATAAACTGGTTAATTTTGATAGCACAGAAATTCACATGCATAATGGACATTTTCAATAATAAAATACTTGCCAATGATTACCCTAGTTAGGTACAAAGAAAACTTGCAATATAAAAAATATAACATAGGCTTTTAATATGCGCGTTTAAGTTTCTCATAAGGTAATGTGGGTGGACCATGGAAGGCTCCTTGTAAGGCCAGAACAGCTGGTACAGATTCATATTTGGTCAGTTTTTGAAAGGTTCTTTACTTATAATATTGTCTAGTTATATAATTCTTGAACAGCTAACTATAAGACCTCAAATTTGCAAAGCTTCGAGAAGACAGTCAAGTTGCACTTTTTGGACTCGGCAAATTGAGTGACAAATTCAGTTTGCCGAATGATAGCTTATTTGTAGTAGGTTCGTTCTCGCGTTTCTATTCTTTACATATGTTATCAATGCGTTGATATTATATACTAACTCCCTTCCTTTTAATTCACATCTTACAGTTATCTGGTAGTTTCTGAATAAATACATTATTATTATTATTGTTAATTATTATTATAAAGTCGTATTTATTACCATGCGACGACAAATTCCTTATACTCTCACTTATCTATCGAAATCAAGTTAACAGGCCTGACGGCGAGTCGTTATTTTGTAAATGCAGTCCCTCGCCTTGATGACGTCGGTAGTCGACGTTAAAACTAGAATCCTAGCTCACAACCAAACGTAAGTTTTCAAGTAAATAAACCAGCTTTTTATTTGATTGTTTTGATTATACACCATCTAAAACATACATAAGAAGGCCACTTTGGTCTGTTTAAATTATAGGTTATTGGCAGATTATTTGATATGAATGCAAAGCTCATTAAAATATTTTCACAAATACATTCTTAGTTTTACGGTAAAGTTCAAGTATTCTTCATCAAGTATGGTTTTAATAATAATAATAAATAATCTTTATTTCAAAATAACAGTGCACAATTACAACGTAATGTATGCTGTCAGGTGAAATATACGTCACATAATGCCATAATAGCAAGAAACAAAATAGTGTCTAAATATTACAATATTACACAATGTTTGTTTCACATTTCTAGATATTCATCGAGCCCATACGGCTCTAGATTCATTACTTGTGTGAATACATTTCTTGAACTCTTTTATATTCGACAACTTTTTAACTTCCTGGGGTAACACAAGAGTTATAATCTCTGTTCCTTGTATTGTAATTGCCTGGGATTCTTATAAATGACCCAATATTTTTAAATGTAAATTTCCTGAATATATATTGCCACTATGGTGAGTGGTTTATTCCCTTTAAATTTTCCTCTACATGTTTCTCTATGCGGGATTTTTAACATGCATCTCAATGCTCGTTTCTGTACCCGAAAGAGCCTGTTTATCTGGCTACTGTGTCCGTAAAAAATTATACCAAAACGTGCAATGGACTCAAAGTTGGCATGGTAAACAATTTTTAGGGTCTTAAGGTCTAGGTACTTAGGTACTACTAGGTTTTATGAGGATATATTATTGTAAGTATTTGATATTCCATTTTAATGAAAGAACTCTATGCAGCCTTATTCCTTGCAAGACCTTTGAAAGGTTTAATGAAACTTGAATCAAATAAATAATGTAAACTCTGCTATGAATAAAAATATTTTATAAGTTCCATAATAGAACAAAGTAGTGTCTGACCTTTCAGTTTCGGCCAGTTCTGGTCCAAAATTCGAGTTTCAGTTCAGTTTGGGTTTTGGCAATATATCCATCGATAGTTCAACCGAAACCGAATCTACGTTGGTTAGTTTTTGAGCAACTATTTTCCTATTTGGGTTTTGGTTATTACGCTGTATAACTTATTTGTTTTTGTTGTGCTAGCTGATTGCTCCGTTTATGTCCATAGAGATTAACAAAATCTGAGATCACTTTTATTGCCTTTTGAACCAGGTTAATATTATATATGCTTTATTTGAAGGTTTGTTAAGCAGCGGAGGTTATAGTCGCAGGGATAGTTTACTTCATATTAGGAATAATTTTAGATTTTAAACTGAATTGTGTAATAACTCGCCTTGGGCCCTGAAAGCTAATAAGCTGACCACTTACTGGTTTTACAAAGAACTCTTGTTTACATAAAATTATAAGGGAGCTCTCCACCTGCGAAGAGTGTGATTTATGATAACATAAGTTATTCATTCATAAAACCTGTAAGTTATTCTCGAAGTAATTAGCTTCAATGGCTGTATATGGGAGATGCTTTTAGTATCAAGAGAGAATTGTCAGTTCAAAGTTCACACTTTTCCTAACCGCAAATAAACAGTTTTGGCCAAACTTTGATTTCAGCTAAAATACTAGTTTTGGTTTGACACTAGAACAAAGTTACTCAATTACTTATATGTTTCATCTATCCAAGAAATGAAGCAATAATAACTGTTTATTTGTAAGCATGACCTTTCATGGTTCACCCACCCTACTAGGGTATTGAGTAGCTGATTAGGCAGAAGAATTCCAATATTGAAAATTGCCAGTTTTTTAGTAGTCTCTAGCAGATATTGGAGTGTGATAACAGTGTCCCAGCCCCAGTATAATTTTGCATTATTCATAAACTAGTGGGATATTCATCTATATAGGAATATGTGAGCTAAAGCTGATAAGCAAAACAAAACTTTTTGATCAATGCTAGTTCAAGGAGTTGTTTGATATAAGACATTCCCAAAATAGTATTCTAACATCTACCTAGACCTTGTCTTTCTATCTAATTTGACCCAGTTATCTCCTAAAAGACAGCTTGGCAACAATAGCTTAGCCTCAAGCTTATCTGAAGGTGTAAAATCCAATGTTTGAATATTATGATGTGAAGCAGTACAGATAGTTACTCAGAGGGATGAAACCATTAGCAGTAGATGATTTCATGCTTCTTATGACTACTAGATTATAATTACCAATTATTGAACGTTCAAAGTAGGAGATAAAGTACTTACCTCAAAGATAGCACCTCGACAGAAGGCATTTTCATGAGAAGGGATACATCCACCAATTCGCTACCCCTGCAGTACAAAGACATGTTTAGATCATGTTGAAATGAAGTGATTACAAAGCTGCATCAATGCCGTACTTACCAACAATTCAACCGTTTAATTTTGGAAAGATCCGAAATTTTGGTCCTTGCGATGACCATCTCTTCTGTTAATCGTTTAGCCATGTTGAAGGTTTCCTCACTTGTTTTAGCCCACAACACGAAAATTTTTATTTAACACTGCATACTTTCAGAAAGGACGTACATTCGTTATTTCACGCAACACATACCCATCACAACGGTTACGAGCAAACTGAAGAAAAAATAAACAAGAATGAATTTTGTGACGGATGACATCGTTTTCTCTAAACAGTTGCGCATGCGTAGCATCATTACGTCTCATCAACAGAATTAACACTTCACCAAATTTGTGATCACTTCATTCAACAATTATTAGTCCCGATCGCCATTTCCATCCCTAAGTAAGGATGATTTAAAGCGAAATTGATAAAATAGAACTTAGAAAAACTGTGTCCATCAAGATATTATTAGTCAGTGGAATTTTATAAATTGTGACCATCGATCAGGGAAAGTCGAGCTACATTTTTTACAAACTGAGGACGGGGATTAAATGAATAAAGATGGCGGGTACAACGTACAACATTATCCTTGAGTTTGTCCTTTCTTCCTCTTCTCTGACAATCTGACAACAGTGACAACTGTCAGTGTCGGACTGACAAATGTCAAAGGCGCATTGCATTTGTGATTATTGAAAAAAGGAATATGTGATATATCAATAGTTTTTTTTTTAGTTTTCTGATAGGGTTTTCATATAAATAGGTGCAAAAAGCAACTAAGAGTAAATGTTTGTGTCCCAATGATCTCGTTCATCCCAGGTTATCCACTTTTAAAGTGAACATAACCCCTCTAAAAATTCAAATAGTGGGCACTATTGATTAAGCAAAACAACATAAAGCCAAACACTTCACATAATTTTAAAAAGAAATGCACGAAGAAGAAAAAAATGGTACTCAGTACGGAGTGGTCACAAGTGGAAGTGATTGACCTCCTGAATGATGGCTCAGGTCTTGGTTTTGGCTTGGTTGGAGGTCGTAGCACTGGAGTGGTAATCAAATCTATCCTTCCTGGGGGGATTGCAGACAAAGACGGTCGTTTACAGAGTGGAGACCACATCTTACAGATAGGAGAGATCAACCTGAGGGGGCTAACTGCTGACCAAGTTGCCACTGTGTTACGACAGGCAGGACCACAGGTGGTTAACTTTTTATAAGCTTCATCACTATGTAAGATTTCACAAGTCTGTCTGCACTTCACTATTAACTGTCTTGTATTGTGTGTAGCTGAACATTTGAGTAGAGTATTAATATTTTATTTGGTCATTTATAATTTTGTTATTCTGAACCCAAAATAAGTCACACAGTAAGAGCAACATTCTCATGTAGTATGGCTCTCTAGCATGATTATTGCATTCATGGAATTATCTCTGTCTGAATGATGTGCTGTGAGTCAGCCTCTGATAGTATAAAAGAGGCAAGTCTATAACCACTTACTCTCTGAATCAAACACATTTGAGTCACACAGAATCATATTCATTAAGTTGTATGGATGACTGTGTTTCATAGTCCCCTGATAGTCAAAAACTCTTTGCTAGAACTTAGTGATACTCTAATAGGATAGACAAGGTTATTTTAAAAATGATCATAAGATCTAAAACAAGTGCTATGTTTGCATGTATGTTTGATATAGTTTTCTCAAAGAAAGGCATGTATTTGTTAAGTGTTTATGAATTTATTCATATATTTGGTCTGGAGTCCCCAGGCAGAGTCATATTTAAGGCTCTTGTTTAGTACTTGTTGGTTACAATTGCAGTATTTAGTCCCTAAAACACAACCTTTTTTGCTCTGGACCTTTGGGGCCTCACATAACCTGCTGGCTTAGCAAGATCAAGCCTTGGGATTCCCAGTAGATTTTAGCATCAAAGTGATGTGAACTTTGGAACTTAGATACCTAATTTATGACAATGTAACTTGGTGCAGGTAGAGCTGCTTTCCAGTGGTTTTTTGTTTGAGAGTGATATGCGCCCGAACTGCTCCAGGAACAATGCATGAGAATACAATGTGGAGTGGAACAGTATTGGTGCTGAATGCCAATGAGTTACTTCGAGTTAATCAGAATAACTCAATGGGGTCACTGGAAAGCAGCTAACATAATCTGGGGCATTTGAATATTTGAAATATTTGCCTCGTTTACCCATGGGACCAGTTTTTGTAGAGATCACACATAAGATAAATGACCAAATCTTTGGCATGTTAAGGCACTACTCTAGACTTTAAAAAAAATATTGCTGTTATGTTGTCAAAATATAATAAAATATTTTTTTCATGAAGGCAGACATTTTGAGAGAGTAGTAAAGTGCAAAACTATGTTGTTTTAGTTTGCAGTACCCTTAAAAAATTTTTTTTAGATACTCCTTTATTTGAACCTTGCTTTGCTTTATCTCTTACTCTTTGAATGTGTGGCCCCTATTTTGAGATACAGACTCTTGGTATGCAATGTGGGATAAGGTAGCATTACATTTCCATGATAAGGATCAATAGTTGAATTAACAGAACCTAATTTTACGAGTCAGATTTTTACATATTTTTTTTTATTCTTCAACTATAAATACCTTCAAACATATCTGAAATTGTTTAAAATTAAATACTATAGGGCTTTTTATTTCAAAATTTCTAATATTGCCAGTTGTTACAAGAGGAGAGTATGCTTGAGTAATTTGGAGCTGAATTCAAGGTAGAAAATGGGTAATGTGGGGCCCCACATAAGTCCTAGCATCAGAGTGACTTCATAAATATAAAGAGTATATGTAGAGAATAGAGAAATGTATTAATTGAAAATGAAAATACCATTGAAATCTCATGAAGTCTCATCAGACCAAATTGACATCCAATTTCGGATCTACTAACACGATTTACCCAGTAAACAAGTCCCCAATCAGATCTGAGATGCACATTTTGGAGAAGTCTGTATTTAACATGATATTCTCACTTCCAGGTAAGAATGGTAGTAGCCCGTCCTATTGAACTGAATTCGCTAGATTTTGACCCATATAATTGCGCTGCCCCTATTGTACCCACGAAGATCCTAACTGATCCAGAGGAATTGGACAGACAGCTGTTACAAAATGGATATACAACAGTATTCTACCGATATTCCGAACCTGTAGAGGCAGTTAACAATGACAGCTTGCAAAACAATGTAAGTAGCTAAAACTTACAGGTGACGTTTGAATAAGTTTGATCCTGTAGCTCAAAAAATGTAGGTTTGTTTGAAATCAATAAAGGTAAAGACTGTATTGTTTAAAGATACAGATTCTATTGAGTTTAATTGAAGTCAGTTCAGAAATAGTTGGTAGAGAGCATTTTAGGAGTTTTTTTGAATGGCTTATTAAAAATACTTAATCATAATTATTTTATACTCAATGTGTCTTATTGCAGTTCACCAGTACTAACTGTCAGGACCTCAACCAGATCTCAGGGATATCAAGGAAGGAATCACTGACAGTATTAAAACGCAGCGAGACTCAGTCTCCAATCATCAAACGTAGCGAATCACAGACCACCTCTCTGAAACACAGCAGTTCACAGAACATTACTCCTCTCAACAATAACTGCTTGGGATCAAAGTCAGCATCTCTTGGTTCACAGACCAGTTGCAAAGAGCAAAAATGTAATGGCGGCGAATTGAATGGAGTGAAAAGAAACAGTTCGGTGAACTTTTGTGATGATGTCATCATTACACCTGATACATTATCACCGATTGATAATGGCCAAGTTATTATAACACCTGTGGATATTGAACATCATAGTCCAGAAGGGCCAGAAACGGAGAGATTTTCCCTGACATTGACGAAGGACGAACATGGACTAGGTAAGATTTAAGAGGAAAATAAAGAAGTTCCATATGATTGCTTGACCATGACATTTTTCTCCAACCACCCAAACCACCCACTTTATATTGCCCTGGAGGGGGGGGGGTGTTTTTGAACGTTGAATGGTCCATGGTAATTCGACCACCTTGTTCCAACACCCGCTTAAAAATCAAATAACAAGAATCACAAAAATAAAATTCAAGTGTTGCTTGCGAGAATATGTCGTATATGCCACTCAAGAACACCCAGCATCTCCCCAAATACCCTGAATAGACAGTTACTGGCGTCAATCTTTGAACAAGTTCATTTACTTGGTGACGATTTCGTCGCACTGATTTCAAAATCAATATCATTTATTGGTGCGTTTGTCATAAGACTTACACTGATCAGAAGTATATACTTAAATATAGATTATAAATATTCGCCACAAACATCACTAACATTTTAGAATGTTTTTTTTATTCAAAATATTCAGTCGAAGAGTACAGTGTCTTATTTATGAGTAGGTCTTTAATAAAACACTTAAAATTTCTAAAAGAAAGGCATTTGATAGCTAATGATACATGTGATAAAATTTTATACCCAAATAACTTGGGTCATCTTGACATGAGAAAGTACCAGTGGCTGAGAAACAGCATAAGATACCCAGGGGTGGGCAAGTCCTTATTTCTGGTATTATATGAATGTAAATATATTTGAGACATTGACTGGTTGCATTTAATATACAACAAATTTTCGAGGAGATATAATATGAAATCTTCCCTGCAGTCCTGCATGCTAAATGCTTCTTTTGAAACACAGTTTATCAGATTATGTAGTGAGAGGATTTGAAATGAATTTTTTACAAAACAAGTGCATAAGAATAACACTGATGAAGGATAAATATATTCCAATTAGACAAATGTTTAGCAAATTAAAATGGCTCAATGTGAATTATTGTATCAAGTATGTTCTAATTGTATTCATTAATAAACATTAATATAATTCCACCATGTCTAACTAAATTAACGTTATCAAATCCCTACCATCATTTACATAATACCAGAAATAAAGATTACTTCCATGTAATATCCACAAAGTATATGTCATAAATCTGTATTCCATCAAGTGCTGATTGAATATAATAAATTCAATACAGAGATAAAAGGCCAGAATACTTTGACAAAATTAAAAATTGAGGAATCACTTGTTGAACCTACTTATATAGCTTGCCCAGTATGTACATGATATAGCTTGAATTTAGTGATTCTTAGATGTTTATAATTATTATTTTAACCTAACATTCTAAATAAATATTTCTGCTACTACTAAATAATCATTCATGTGGATATCATATTTGAATTCTGTATCAAAATATAATGAAAAGGTACTATTTACATTTTATCTTTGTTCATTAGCAGCTTATTTGCAATAAAAATCAACCGCAAAAAGCGTATATCCATATTCTGCGTCCACAAGTGGAAGGCCATTTATAAATATCAGTAACTGAATAGGACTTAAAATTGACCATTCATTGATAGATACCACACTTCTCCCTACTATTTGCTGATGATACCCTAGCAATCCTGACCGTTTGAAATATGAGTTAAGTTTATTCACTGTCAAATTGGTCTCCCCAAACTTGTGGTTGTTAACACTTTATAGCGATTTGATTCATAAAGACCAATCAGTTGAGATGCGTCCAGCTTCGTTGCTCTCACTCATGTGTTACTTATGTTTGGTCACAATTTACGGAAATATCTGGAATTTTTACAGTATGTATATTCAAGGTATTGACACGTTTTTGTAAAGCGACAGAATTAAACGTAATTCCTGAGACAATCTATCAATATAACATTATGAGATACATATTTTCCCATAATTATTCAATTTTCACAGAAATAGGAATATTAAAAAAACGGGTTACATAAAACTAGAGGGGCATTTAAATGTTACCTCAAAATTTAAAGATCAATGGTCCCGTTATTAAAATGTTTGACTTGGAACTTGACAAATCCGTGGTGTCCTTGGTATTGATGTTTTCCAACATTATTTCAATTCTTGAAGGAATCTTCAGCATTAAATCAATACTGCTGAATTGCGGCCCAATTCTCTAAATGTTTAGCAAACAAGTTGATAAATCCAGAGTTTCTGTCGTATTCGGACGATTTCGTTGATACTGGGAGTGTTACTTAGGGACCAGTGATTGGAGAGAAGTTGTCGCACTTAAAACAGCTCATGACATAATTAATGGGTTTAGGTATCACCGTTGCTGGCTACGTGTGTGAGAGAGAAGATCTTTGCGGAATTTTCGTGAAAAGTCTGAACGAAAACTCCGAGGCCTACAAATGCGGGAAAATCAAACTTAATGACAGGATAATCGAGGTTGACGGTTGCTCTCTACTAGAATGCTCTAATTATGAGGCTGTGAAGAAACTTAAAGATACCGGACAAACCGTGACCATAACCTTTGAACGTTACCTCAGCGGACCTAAGTTTGAACACTTGCAAGAAGCTTTCGCAGGAAAGGAGAGAACGCCTACAGATATTAGTCCTGCTTCACCTTCTGCTACGACTTTGAGTTGGATACCTATTGAAAATATTGAGGTAATTAACTAATTTTAGTTGCTACGTTACAGCATAAGACATTTCAACTCTTCTGTATGTAGATTAAGAAATTTTGGCAGCTTTCAGCAGTATATTTATATCACTTGAATTGTGTTTTGAAGTTTCTAGTTATTATAAATCAGTATCGCAAAAAATGTGATTTATTCAGTACTTTTCACGCATTCACGTTCCTTATAAAAAAACAGCACCATTTTGTGCTTAGGATACATAATAAATATTGTTGTTTTTCTTATTGATGATTTAGATACAGTATGTGTATTTCTAGAAAAAAGAAGAACCAGAACGGACGTCTCTTCAGAGTGTAAGCAGTGAGGTTCTGGAAGATATTCCCGAAAATAAAGAAGTATTTATAGAAGATAATTTTGAGGCAAACCTAGAGGAAGACTTGGAGTCGGCTATCAAGCATAAATGGGAGAGTATTATTGGCTGTGATGCTGAGATAGTTGTAGCCAACCTCACCAAACTTAAAGGTTGGTTAAATTTAATATTTAATGACTAAAAGCAAATAAATATAATAGTTTTAAAGCAAGCTGAAATAAATGCTTGACTTTTAGGTTTAGGAATAAGTTTGGAAGGCACTGTAGATGTTGAAGATGGAGTAGAACTAAGGCCACATCATTATATTAGATCCATATTACCGGAGGGGCCTGTTGGTAAAAATGGGAAATTGGGTCCTGGTGATGAGTTACTTGAGGTATGTATAATGTTTCTGATTTCATTACTACACCGTTGATATTGTGTATAAAAATAAGTCAAGAACACATAAATGGTAGACAAAAAAGTAGAGTTCTCAGGTCTAAACAAAGTGGCTTTATTTTATATACAATTTTTTTACTAATATTTGTTTGTTTATGACTTGAGCATCAAAAGCTATTTTTTCAGGTAAATGGTCAGAGGTTACTAGGCATAAAACACGTCGAAGTTGTAAAAATTCTAAGAGAACTTCCAGCTACAGTCAGACTGGTGTGTTCTAGAGAGCACAAAAATAGGGTGATCAACACGTCCCAAGACAGGGAAGCATTTGAAGCAAGGAATATACTTGGAGGTAGCCTAAAGAATCTTCTTCCTCAGCCAGAACAGAGGTTGATCAAAGCGCTCAGTGATACTAGTTTAAACACTTCAAGCTCTCCATCAGGTAAATATAACGCTAGGCGTGAAATCAAAATTGTAGGACTGCCGGATTCAGATATTATTGATCAATCAACTATTTTACTATGTAAAACTAATAATTTTGAATATTTAATATTTTTATGTTTAACATTTTCCTGTTTTTCTGCTATGATTGTGTCTTAGTCTGGATGATATTGACATTTTTGCATTTGTCTAGGCGCGGATGAGTCTAATTTGGACAAAGTCAAGTCTCGCTCTCTGGAAGTAACTAATGTAGCCATGTGGTCTGAAGAAATTGAATATGTGGATCTGGTGAAAGGCGATAAAGGGTTAGGATTTTCTATTCTGGACTACCAAGATCCTCTAGATCCAAAATCTAGTGTTATAGTGGTGAGAAGCTTGGTTCCAAATGGTGCTGCCGAGCAAAATGGAAAAATTACTCCAGGTAGATAACTGCTCTGCTTTGTTACATCACTTTTACTTCCTACGCCACTGTTATCGCAAACAATTTCGAAAATGATGTTTTTTGGAAGTTATACGATATAGTCACCAAGAAAAACCATGTCACTCATTTCCGTCTGTCTGTTTGAGGGCTAATTCTGGGACCGCTTATAACTGGAGAAGTACCGCTCGGATTTTAAAAAAAATTCTCATAAGGTTGCTAGTGTGCCAAGGATGAAAAAGCTATCTAGTTTTTGAAAATCGGTCCAGTGGCGGAGGATAAAAAAGCTAAAAACGAAAAAAAGTCGTTCATACTTTATCTTTCAACGTTTAAGAGGGTCCTGATCATTTTCAGAAAAATATTTGTTGGAGTTGAAATTCGGGGGTTGGGGGTTGTAGGGGGTGAGGGAGGGTATGAGGTTTGTCCGGACCATACAAATAAAAGTAAAATAAAAACTTTATTTTACAATTATTTACAATTTATAGGCTCCCAGCCCCGCTGGTAATTATATGCAACTATTAGCCATATTTCATATATCATATTTTATATTTACCCGTACATCTGCCTTTAAAACCTAGCAACGAAAAAGAAATGTTTTCGATCAGCGTTTCCTTCTGCTATCTAAGCTAACCGCCCGGCGCATCGATCTGGCTGACTGTTCTGTCCGTACTTGCAGCACAAAAAACATATACATGGAAAGAACGGTAACTCGCTGCCGCGATGGGCCCGGTCGCGCAGACATGGGTAGGGCAGGGAAAGAATGACTATGGGCTCATTGCATGGGCCCATTTGAATGACTTGATCCGTTATAACTTACTCTGTTATACATGTTTATAATTGATTCTTTCTCATAGGGTCTAAATTGTACCTGAACTTAATCCCTTATGAACTGATAAGGGCGTTGCATAGAAAATTCAGAGTCAACCTACAGGACGCCAATTTCTTAAGAATTTCATGATTACACATTTTTATAATGTATTTTAGAAGTTAGTTCACCTTGTGAGATTTCACGTAGCTAACAATGTAGAAAATAAATAAATGTGCATCATAATCTTCTAGTCAAGGGCTCGCTACAAGATACGGAAGATTTGGGTAAATATTACAACTGAGCATTTGATCAGACTTCTGAAGGAGGATATACTGTAATTACGATCTGCCTCTCTTTCTATCTTTTTATATGTGGGTGACTCAATGTTATTTCCTTTCAGGTGATCGCTTGATAAGCGTAAACAGCAAAGTGATAAAAAATGTAACTCTCGACGAAGCAGTACAAGCCCTGAAAGGAACCATGCCCGGAATTGTGAGGTTAGGGATCTCAAAACCGTTGCAAAGGCAATCTGAATCTCGCAGTGATAAATGAACAATTGAATCATAGCTTACACGTCCACTCGCATTACACTGATATGCTTTACCTTACACCAATTTGATTTCCAAGATGTAGCTATGAAAGTATAGTCGGGAAATTGGCGGTTTGATAAGATACATCTTGTATTAGTATGGGAGCCAAAGATAGACTTTAATATTTATATTATCTGTTCCTTCACAATTTTAATTTTGGTATATGATAATAATGTTAATATTTGTTTCCATACTTTTGTCCGCTGCTGTATATGAACATCCAAATAATACAGAATAGGGTTAGGCATCTTCTTGGAAAATACGTTATTTTTGTTGCCGATAAAATACAGATATTAAGAGGTAACAGCTGGTACTTAACAAGCCGCCACTAGTCTAAGGTTTTGCCATTAAACACTGCCGACTTGAGTGGAAAAAATAAGGTAGATTTTGACATTGTGGAATCGTGGAAATGCAAGGTCTGAGTAAAATGGTGATTTGAGAAGCAATAAAATGACTGGATGGTTACGAAGATTATGCTAAAAAATTATTTACTGCATCTTGGACGTTATATCTATGGATGTAAATTAATAAATCTGAAATATAAAGAACATAAATATTTATATTAATTACAGGGATATGTATCTCATAATGTGAGATTCAGTATTTTGTAGCTTTTACTACTGAAGTTGTAGGAGTTGTTAGTAGGATCAGGCTGGTGTTACTTGGAAAATCAAAATTCCTATGCTATGCTAGGTGCTAATAGAGCAAATATTAATTCAAAAAGCTTTTTTGAGTGTATAATGGAATACATTGATTATCATAGCTGTAGAATACGCTAATCAATGTTGAAAAGCATTATAAGCTGTTGAATTCATCAAAGAAAAAAGATTTAATGAAATCAAAGTGATTAATTGGCTACTAATTTTATGTGATCGATTTTGAAATCATGGGAGGCGACTATAAAAAAATAGAGATTCGGCAAAAGTAAGTTATCAGCTGTAGAATGTGTGAAACACAGATGCACTTTTGGGATCAGAATAGGGTCTGTCACATTCTTCCAAAGGCCAGTAGACTATACGTGGGCATTTATTAATGTTGAATGTCAGCAAACTGAAATTAGTGCACTTCTTTCACATTTTATAAGCTACATATATCGAACAATAATATTTAATGATAAAAATGGTTACTAATTGTAAAAATACAAACATACGGAGCTTTAAAGTAATTTCTTACTCTGATATTATGAATATCTATTTACATTTGCATATCAATCTTTAGGTATTGTTAGAACAGCACAAAAGCTAAAGGATATTTGTACATATAACAATTACAATAAGTATAGGAATTGATTTTTCTGTAAAATATGTATTTGTGCTTCAGATATATTTTGATGCTGATGTGCCATATTTATTTCATGTCAAGCCTAAGCTTTCTGAGACTGACTTCAGTTTTAACCATTAAACTTTCTTCTAAATGCAGGCGTTTCAGGAACAGTGCGGGAAAATCTCTATTCAAAATATCATCTCATCCGTTTTCGAAATTTATAATTATCCAGAAACCTGCACAACCTAACCTAAATTGCTTTTTCTACACAGCTTTTGAATAAGTCGGGACTGCTCTCCAAATATGATGTTTTTAATTCCAAAGTAAAACGTATACAGAATGGTTCACAAGTCGTGACCAAAAATGAAACATCATACACAGGACCGCATCTTAAGGGGTGTCTTGCATGAAACATTTTTCTCTCGAGGGCTTTAGTAAAAAGATACGGGGTGTTGAAGTTTAAAAATAAAAACAAAATTTTAATATCTTCAAAACCGTCAACTGGAATGAACCAAAAGGTATGGTATAGGCGTAAGTATTGTCCACATTCAAAAGTCTTTACTTCAAATTTATGTGCACCAGTGGCGGAGATACAACGGATTAGTGGCATTATTTTTCCTATAAAAATAGTACGCGACTGTTTTTTATTCGAAACGCGCAGGTTTTCGAATTTTACCTTCAATTTGCTACAAATAGTTACTCGTGTTTTTTCCCTAGAGTGGTCGTAAAAATAAAAAAAAAAACAAATTTGTAAAAACCTTTGAGGTAGGTTGGCGTCTGTTAAGAAATCTACGTTGATACTCCCAAGAAGCCGCTAAAGTATTTCCATTACAGAAGCCGTACACAAAAATAATATCGTCGTACTCATCATTGCTAAATTCCATTTCACAACACTCAAAAATGGAAAAAAGAAAATTTAACAAAAAAAAAATGGTAGTAGTAACGATAACAACCGTATAACACATAACTTTGACAAGAAACGTCAAGTTGGTATCAAGGCCTCCTATTTTATTTTGAAACTACAGTAATGTCCGCATATAACGAACCTCAAGTGACCGGCGAAACTGGTTCGCTATAAATTTTTGAAAATGTTTCTTAAAAAAATCATTTATTTTAGTTTGGGTTATTTTTGTGAAATGAATATAATATGTAATTCCACTTCAGATAGTCGATCTAGCACACGCTCCGGAGCATTTCGTGACTGAAGGAAATGACGAACCTTGACGAAGGGCTTCTGATGTGGTTGGAGTTGGTATCACTTCCATACCGACAGATTCACTATTAAGTCGGCCACTCACGTACAGTTTCAACTGACAGTTTGAACTGTTCAGTGAAAACTGTGCAGTTAAACTGTTCAGTCTGTTTGCACACACACATACAGGTCAATCTATCAGTTTTAAATAATGCATCGAACAGAGCAGAACGATTTGGCCGCTCTGGGTATACTTTGTGTAGTTTTACAAAAAAGTAAACAATGTAAAAAGCGTAAACAGTGGTGCAAGAAGTGGTTACAGAGACGAAATCAATCTTCGGACATCAGCTTATTAAAAGAATTGAGAGGGGAACCATTAGATTTCCTTAATTATTTGCGCATGACAGAAGCAGTGTATCAAAAGTTGCTTTTGCTGGTTTCTCCTTTGATTAAGAAGAAAGATACAGTTATGAGGGCAGCAATATCTCCACACGAACGATTAACTGCTACCTTGAGATTTCTGGCAACAGGACGGTCGTATGAGTGTCTCAAATTCTCGACTAGAATATCACCTCAATGTCTTGGTAAAATTATCCCAGAAACGTGCAACGCCTTGTACGCAGTTTTAAAGAAGTATATGGCGGTACGTATTTTCTTCTTAATTTAGAATAAGAGAAACGAAAAACAGTTGTTTTTGGCAAACTGCTTTTATTTTTATGAAAGGGTACATTTTCATGAATTGGCATCAAATTGAGAAAAATAAGTCGATGCTGTGTTGTCCTGAGAAAAGGATAATTGTCCACTTCCATCATTATGGAACTGTCTAAATGAACCTTGGCCGTATGTTGGAGATGGCGTGGGACATGGAGTGACATTAGGAGATTGACTTGCTAACGCTGTACATGAACCTTGTCCATATGTTGGAGATGGCGTGGGACATGGGGTGGTATAAGGACTCTGACTTGGTGATGCAGCATAACGGTATATTGGCGCTGTGTTTAGAGAACCCATTTCCGCCTCGAATAATATGTCACCTATCTTTTTCTCCGCAATGAGAGCCTGGCGTTTTTCCAAACCTCTCAACTTTACAGCAATAGTTTTTCCCAACAGATCAAAGCGGTCAAGTTGTTCCTTGGGTGTTTTGAAATGGTCACGCACTGTCATCAAGGTTTCTGTTGTGAGATCCTCATTTTTCTTTTGTTTTTTATTACAACCAGGTCTTGAGGTTATTGGCTGTTGAGATTTTCTTGACACTTCTTCAACAACCGCAGTTCTCATTTCTACAACATCATCAGCCTCTCCTGTTTCTTCAGTTGGGAGTGCATTGTCAACGGATTCCTGAAAAATAGAAGCAACTGTGTACTAGGATTGACAAAAAAAAATAAAACATCTAATTTACTTTAACATAACATATTTAGCTATTGTTGCCTGTTTCAGTTTCCCAACTCAGGAGAAAAATGGAAGGAGATTGCAGCTTCGTTTGAGGAAAGATGGCATTTCCCACACTGCATCGGTGCCTTAGATGGGAAGCATATTGATATAATTCCGCCACAAAACTCTGGATCGTATTATTATAATTACAAAGGCAAACACAGTATGGTTCTTCTGGCTATAGTTGACGCAAAATACCGATTCCTACTAGCAGATTTTGGAACAAATGGGCGGATTTCCGATGGCGGTGTTCTTCAGAATACAACTTTCTTTGAGAAGCTGGTGAACGAGGATTTAAATATTCCCCAACCTGATGATATTTGTGACAATTTCCAAAACGTTCCGTATGTATTCGTTGCGGATGATGCGTTTCCTCTCAGAACTGATATTTTGAAACCATTCAGGCAGGGACTATTAGATTCAGCAGACAAAGAGGTTTTTAACTATCGATTATCACGAGCAAGACATATTGTCGAAAACGTTTTTGGTATACTTGCTTCACGATTTCGTATCTTTCAGTCTCCAATTAATTTAGAACCAGAAAATATAGAAAAAATTGTAATGGCTGCTTGTGCTTTACATAACTTTTTGATTGAACATCAATCTAGTACATACGCTCCTGCAAACTTAAGGTATCAAGAAAATAGTAACGATGGATCTCTTATTTCTATTGGGTGCGATAGTTCACAATCAAATATGATTCCACTAAATCGTCAAAATCGAGGAAATATTGGCAATGACGCAAAAGAAATCAGACAACGCTTTATGGACTACTTCATGAATGATGGCGAAGTCCCATGGCAGAAGAATCACATTTTAAAAAACAAATAAAGACATTATTTGATGTTTACAAAAATAAATAGAAAATTTGTTTTTCCATGTATTCATAATATCGTGTTTTTCTTACCTCGCCACTTTCACCATCCAAATTTGAAATTGAGGTCCTTGAAATCTCTTGATCTTGCAAAAAATCAAACATGTCATAATACCAAAGTACCGGCTTGTAAATGCTATCCGTTGATGTTCCAGACTTGTATGATGCATCAACTTTCTTTTTCTCCTTCCGAAAAGCAGTTCTCAAACTGTTAATTTTATTGATCACAGACTTCTTGTCAGCACCAGGTTCAACTTCCACCAACTTTTGTGCCAATTTGGCATATGCAGCATCCTTCTTCGTACGATTATGATATTCCGGGCTCTTTACTTGCCAAAGACAAGGTTCCGATCTGTATATCGCAATAAAATCTACGATCACTGGGTTTGGCTTATTCCGCGACATCTTCAAAAAACCACCCGCACGGTGCTGAGACACAACTTGAACTGAGAACTGTGCAGTCGAACCCCCACACACGCAACGATCAGTTGAACCATTCAGTTAAAACAATTGACAATTTATTTGTCTCAGTTTAACTGTCCAGTTGAGTTAAACTGCGACTGACACACCCACACACGTTGAGGTTTAACTGCACAGTTTTCACTGAACAGTTCAAACTGTCAGTTGAAACTGTACGTGAGTGGCCGACCTAAGGAAGATTGGCTCTAATATTATCTCGAAGATCGTGTTCCTGTTGAATTTTCTTCATCCATTCAACTAATGGCAGGTCATCGTCGGAATCAAAATTATTCTCAACCTCCAAGAAACCCCCATGCGTAAAACAATTTAAAATTGTTTCTTTTGGTACCTTCTGCCATGGCATATGATTGATGTTTATTGCATCCAAAAGATTGACTGTAAAATTTTCCCCGCCACTATCAACAAAATTTATCATTCTCGAGAGAAGAACTTGACGATAATGGCTTTTTAAACTGTGGATTACACCCTGATCCATAGGCTGTAGTTTAGGACTCGTATTTGGGGGCATGAACACTAGGTTAATACAGTCAAAATTTTTTACATCTGGATAAGCTAGAGAATTGTCCACTAATAATATAATTTTTCGTTTTTCGTGGCGTAACTCACCATCCCAATTACGCAGTTCAGCATCAAAACTGGCAACTGTGAAACATTTTTAAAACATCGAGGGTTTCGCGATCTTCCAATTACCAATAACTTTCTTTTTTCTGTCCCTGTTAGATTTGCGACAACAAGCACAGTGATTCTTTCTTTAGATAGCTTCCCACCCTCACACTTCTCGCCTTTGAATCTTAAGGTCTTATCAGGTGTAAGGTTATAGAATAACTCAGTTTCATCTGCATTGCATGTGTCCTCGCCTTTGAAGTTCCTTCTAATGATTGGCCACTTTTTCTGCAACCAGTTATTCACACAGTCCATATCAACTGCAGCAGATTCTCCAACAATTCTTCCACTGGTAATATTATGTCGTCTTTTGAATCTTTCTATTTTTTCTCAGTTCTTTCTATTTCAATAACTTCTTCCCAAGGTCTTCAGCCTTCGATTGCAGTATAGCACCACTTATGGTTACTCTGTTGAGAAAACCATTTGAGAAGTCCCTGATTAACTTTATAATTCGTGAGCTTTCTATTTTTCTTCACATTTATGTTTTGACCTTTCTCAAACATTTCCAATATTTTGTCTATATTTTTCCAAATTGTACCAACCTGTAATTAAAATGAAAAGGTGTAAATCAAATTCATATCTCAGAGTGCTTATTTCTGTATGTTTAGGACATGTTATTATGCAGTACTCACCGTTGATTTACTTAATCACATTTCAGAACAAACTGACTTTGCTTCACACCTTGCATTCTTTTGACGATATCGTATTCTATTTAAAGTAAGAGCTTTACGAGTTTTCTTAGAAATTGCGTCACACATGATTTCAAGAGTGCAGGACACTGAATACAACGAATCAAGAAAATATCAGACTAAATGGCGGTGGCTGACTGGCGGCATACGCTGACGATTGCACATACCCCACCACGCGGTCGGAAGATTTCGGTTACCTGATTCTGGTAAAATCCCGTTTTATGTTCGTTATAACTTTTTTACGAATAATATCAAGCATTTAGGTTCTTTTTAACGGAAGTTCGTTATAAACGGGTTCGTTATATGCGAGAAAAATAGCACACATTTAATATCAATTCAATGGTGGTACCTTATAAATTAGTTCCTTATAAACGGAAGTTCGCAATAAACGGGTTCGTTATAAGCGGACATTACCGTAATTGTATCTCGGCTCCTGATGAATGATCTAATTTGTTTTATTTTTACCAACAGTGCATTCTAGGAAAAAAACTCGAGTAATTGTTTGAGTTGCGTACTATTTTTAATTGGAAAAATAATGCCACTAATCCCCTGATCTCCGCCACTAGCGCACGTTAATTTTGATTAAACTTTTGAATGTGGAAAATACTTAGGTAAATCCACATACCAAATTTTAGTTCATTCCAGTTGATGGTTTTGAAGACATTAAAAAAAAATGTTTTTTAGTTTTAACGTTTTAATGAAGCCCTCGAGGAAAAACATGTATGTACATAGACGGCCCCCCTTAAAATGCGGTCCTTGGTAACGACTTGTGAATTACCCTGTATAGTTCTCGGAGGTTGAGGTAAAAAAAAGTCAGAATGGTCAGGGACATGTCTAGGATTTTTTGAATTCAGCAGAAATGTTGAGATTGCACATCAAATATTTTTAGGGGATGCAGAATTTTTTGGATAATCTTGACTTTTCCCATTTTTCTATTGTTTCTAGTACCTTTTCTGTAGAGATTAATATTTTTTCTAGCTTCAAATACTATGTTAGTGATACGCGCTTGCCGAGAACATGCGTGCATAGACAAATCAAACGTTTTCCTATCAAAGGGCTGCCACAAATTTGGCCATGGTGGTGGTTACAGCAAAACCATTAGTGGCCGTCATAGGTTGTCGGTACATTTGCCATACATTTTGTATGGTATCGTCTAGGGATGCACCAAGTATTACTTTTTCCAAAACGCCGACTACCGGGTACTCAATGAGAATCGAATACCGAGTACCGGGTAGTTGGCCGGGTTTTTAATGATTTGCTCAGGGTTTTTATTTTCAAAATTGATATACTTTTACAAGAAATTACCGCACCACAGTTGTGTAGCTTACATTTTTTGTAAATAAGTCGTTGCAGGATAGTGTATTTACGGTATTGATCTTTTAAATATATTAAATCTTGGAACTGCTAGGTATATTTTTTTACTATGAAATTCAGCAGCTACAATATTGAATTAAAATCGAAACTTTATTTTGACATTACATTTTCTGAAACAATTGTTTTTGATACATCTTTTCAATTCCTCATGTTACGTAAGAAGTATATTTGTAATACAAGAAGGTATATATTTGACATCATAAACGTATATTTTTGTGGAAGCTGGGTGTTGTGAGGATATCAAGTCAGATTCGGAAAGGACTAAACTTAAATTATCCTCACGTATGAGCAAAGTGTCCTTGCACAAACGTGCGATGCTCGTTATTATTGTTACAAATACCGTAAATATTGGAGAAGACGTTATCGATGTTCACTAAGAAATCATCCATATTAGGAAGTTTCTGACAAAAATATATTCCGACCATGGCTTTTTTGTTGCGGTGCCTTAATTTCTTGAAAATCAGGAAGGTTTGTACTTTGGACTTCATTTCTGCAATTTTAATTTCTTTGATTTATAAAAGTTGTGTTTCTTGCGTTCAGACCAGGTACTTTGTAAAATGGACCGAGAATGCCAAGTACCACGTACAAACCGAGTACTCGGTGCATCCTTAGTATCGACGCAAAGAGAGCTCTCAAATAACATCAGAGCCTCAAGCTGCGGGAGTAGTCAGCGCTCGCTTCTTGTGGCTTCGCTTGGCGCACGACGTCCACATACATTGAGCAACAATTGCCAACCATCATAGATTAATGGACAAATACGTGGATATGCCTAATCATTAGTGGTTGTAAGTGGTGGCTCCATCTATCCATTAGTGTGTGGCAGCCCTTAACGACCATGGTTGTAAAAAAAACTTTGTTAATTCTGTCAATTAAATTTTGATCGAGATATGGCAAAATATTTTGTGACTGAACATGGTTCTGCATCTAATTTGCATCTCATTTAGGATATAGTATTTTTTGTGATCTTAGAGAAGACGGTCAATAAATGATTGAATCCAAAAACTTCGGTTTTATTGTACCACTCGGGAGTTTCCTTATTCATTGCTTAACGTTAAGTGGTCCTTAAGTATACATTTTCGGTTAGACCAACAAAAAATATAGATTACTATTCATTTAAAGTGTGATTTGTTCAGTGGGTAGCCAGTGATCGCTTAAACAGTACTTTGCGCAGTTTGACGTAAGCATTTATTGATTTTCCTGTTACGATCAGTTTTTGCAAAATAGTATGCGCAAGCAATCGAGTATTTGGACTGTTTGGGCAAGGGATCGGATGGAAGATGACTTGGAGCTGGCATGTGTTGAGATGTGACTGCCCCGACGCATGTAATGTATCCAATTAAATCAAAAAAATTGATCCGCTGGGATTTTTACATGCTGTGCCAAAAAAATGGTGGTGCATGTATTATCTCAAATAGAACATCAATTATAGTGACTTCATGACAGGACAGTTTGAGTTGTCAAGCTTAGGGCCATAACGTCAGTTTTTCCTACAATTTCAGGATGCCTTTATGGCATTCTTGATTTTCATAGTTTTTTCTGCCCTTCAGAAAGGCAGGGGTATTTCTAGATTTCTACTGTTCCGTGTCAGCATTCCATTATGAGGTTATGATACAAATATCTATGTACATGAAATTTTTCATGCTTTGGATTTATATCATCTGTTTCATCAGCCTGAAATTTCCTATTAGTTCAAAAGGAAAACATGACCTCACAATAAAATCTAGAAATACGCAGCCTTTCTGAAGGGGAGAAAGGGCTATGAAAATCAAGGAGGTCATAAAGGCGCCCTACAATTGTAGGAATCACTGACGATACAGGCCTTAGATAAGAAAACCCAAAAAGCGTTGCGGTAACCTGAAGAATCTAAAAAAAAAAATCAAACGTGTTTTACAATTTGCAGATGATTTCAAATTAATCAGATGGACGCTCCCCCAAAATATTTTCTAGAGCCGCCCCTGATACTTCAGGCTTGAATGTCTCCTTGCTTATTCTGCCCTCCAGGAATAACGTGGGCAATCGGCCATTAAATTTTTAATTACCAAGTGACGTAACTAGACACACTTAGAGCCCACATGCAAAACTACAGATATTGCTATAACCAGTGAAGAGTAAATAAATGCGACCATCCATTTATATCAAGGCACTTTATACATTATAGAGCTCCTCAATCCAAATCAAATCCGAAAAATCTAAATTTTCCATTGGCCGAACCAACAAGCGCTGAACAGGAAGAAACTTTTTATGGGCCCACTGAAACCATGGGCTTCATGGAGCACTTGTTACCAGGAAAAATCATAAATCTGAAATATAAAATACTTTATTACAAGAATCATACACCACCATTCACCTTGGATTTTTTTTTAGACTTCTTAACTTTCTTATCACTTTCAACCTCATCTATTGTATCTTCTGAAGTAACATCTCCATTCACTAAATTTCTTTTTTTATTTTTGACAGCATCTGCTTCTTTAGACTGTTCTTCATCACTTTCTAACTCAACATCCACCAGTTCGTTAGGAAAATGAACTTCTCCCAACCCTGATGACAAACTCGCCAATCTAAGCTTCTTAGCTTCCTTTCTCTGCTTCATCAGTTCTGTATTCTTTCTTTTCTTTGTTTTATTCTTTTGGGTGGCTTCTGAAGTTTCTTCCTTTTTATTTTTTGATTGACCTGTCACTTTCATTTCTATTTTATTAGAAACGCCACAATGATTGCATAGTTTGTTAAAAGCTGTCCTTGCATCATTTGAGAGATTTTTATAGCTTCTGTATTCTCTAATCACCTCAGCTAGTCCTTTCCAGTCAAGATTTTCTATTTTCAGGCATGACATTTTAACTGCAGACAATAAATTAAATATACCAACAAGGTATATATCTTTCAAATTATCATTTCCTTCTTTTTCTACCAATTCTCGGAAATGACTTTTGACATTTTCAAAAAATTTCAAATGTTCATCGTTCAATTTCTGCTTTATAACTTCTGCATTAGAGCTTAAGTATCTTTGATTTTGGTAGAAGAGTCTTAGCAGTTCCAAAACTTGCTTCTTTTTAAATGGCTTCAAGTCTTCTTCAAATAAAAATTTGAAAAGTTGAGGTACTAGCTTCAATAGCCCATCCCAATTTGTCTGAACTAGATTCTTAAATAACACAAAGTGAGTTGCGCAATCTCTCTGATGGAAATACTTGTTCATTTCCTCAGATATCACAGCACATATGCACTTTTTGACACTTTTCTTTAACAGCAAATCGGCGCAACGTATTGTAAAAATTGTACAGTCTGCTAACTGCACAGCCATATCTTGAACTATCCATGCGTTCTTCGTACCTTTATCCATAAGACTTTTTAACAGCTCGCTCAAAGTGTTATCGTCAACGCCTTCTACAGAGCTAAACTTCTTTAACTTTGACAATTGTTTCAAACATGGCTTGAGTCTAGCCTGTAAAGGTTTCTGGTGCTCTTCCTTAACGCTGAACTCAAATGCTTGTAGCAGTGGCAACATGATCTCTAACGTCAGTAGCAATGAAGGATTTGAATTGAGATATATTTCAATCAAGTCTAATACTCGTATTCGGAAATGGGTGAGCATTTCTTGTTCTTTAGTTTGTTTTTTTAGATTACCATGATTTGGTTTGAATTTTTTAAATGCGCTTGCTAGCGCCGCATCTAGCTTTTCGGCTTCAGTTTCAGACATTTCGTCCAGGTCTATACTTTCTTCGTCTGTGTCTGTGCCTGAAAAGAAAACAGTTATTTTTAATGCAAAAATAAGATCTTTAACAACGATCGAATTCCTCTTCAAATATCTCAAAAGGCGTACAATATTTAGAACAAACATCGGGAATAAAAACTACCATAAAACTTGCTGAATTATGGAAGAGATGATGAAATTAAATTCTCAAAGAATTTTCACATTTTTCTCTAGTTTAATTTTCAATGGTACTAATAAAGGGTTTTCCATGAAGGACCTGACAGCTTTCTTTCTGAATAAAACGCAAACCATTTGAGACATCTCGAAAATTTTATTACTGGATTGAAGTATACTCAAAACATTTATGTATGGACTTCGACCTCATTCATATGTCCACTATACTATGAATTGCTTGTCTACTTGGACGAGAATTACGACCAAAAATTGGCGTTAACGCTCTTAAAGTTGCTGTCAGACTCGGAATTTCGGTAGTAAATTTTAATTATTTGTAAGCGTTGTTCGTTCGTGTACTTCACCAAGATGAAAATGTTTTCTTTACTGAATATTTTGACATTGACAGTTCGATAATTGATTTAACCCTGCGTCAGTCGCGCAATCTAAAATTACATGAGCGGTCGCATCGCGGCACTGAGTGCCGCATCTGGACAATGACTTATTTTGTATTATTATAGAGAAAACATTGACTAATAAGTTTGTAATTAAACAGAATAGACATTTAAAAAATCAGTTTATTTTTAATATTGCGCTCTTATTTATTTAAACATTCAAAACTAAAACATTATTCTATAGCGAACATAAAAGATAAACACTGAATTTTTAAAGTGAAAATGGTAACGTAGCCACCAAGAGACTTAATTCTAAAATAAATCAGTCTTCCTCCATCGGGGTATACAAACAAGTATCACATTGAACTGTTTTTTTGCAATGGCGTTTACATACAAACTGATAACATGAGTCACATCTAACAGTAGTTTTATTATTTTTATGCGCACTACAAACATGACAACGTCCACTACCATTTTGCTTTATTGCAGGTACCTCATCAACAGAAGTTTGGTATCGCGAAAGAAATTCTCTAATGTCTTTTGGAAGTGTAATTATTTTCGCTCGTTCCGCCATATGATGTTCCATTAGAGACACGCCTAATTCGTTTAAGAATTTTCGTCTTCTAGGAGACTCTTCTGTAGGTTTAGTATTATTGAATCCAATTTCAGCGTTTATCCCAGTAATATCAAGAATGCGGAAAAATATTGCAAGGGGCCATCGTCTAGTGGTTCTCTGGGTTGTATAAGAGGCACATTTTTGATCGACAGTATCGACACCACTCTTCGTCCTGTTATAATCCAAAATGATGGTTGGCTTATTTGTTGCCTCGTCAACCTCTCCTTTGTCATCAACAGAAGAAAGAATTATCACAGCCTTATTCTTTTTGGGTACGTAAGATACCAAATTAATTTCGAAATTGTCGACGATCTCTTGCAGCTCTCGTTCAGTGAGTGGTCTCTTTTTATCCCTAAAATATCAAAGATTATATATTATTCCACAATCCCAGGTTGATAAAACACACCAATTCGGAAAAAAATAACAATAATAATGAGCTATAATGGTTTTGTAATATATTTTAGCGATATCTATATCAAACTAATAACCAAACATAATACTTACATGATCGGTCGCGTGGCGGCACGGAGTACCGCAAACTGCGCCTTCTCACTAAAATTCTCGATTTACACTAAAAGGAAGCATTTCCATCTCCGTCCCGTAGGTACCCGTTGCAAAATATAGCCAACGAAGCATACCTCGCGAGCCAGTGGCGTGCTTCGAAAAATTATTCAGCAACTAGAATAAATTAAAAAAACGCGGCACGGAGTACCGCAGCGCGACCGCCGAAGGGTTAAAGGTGCGTTCATAGTGAAAGTTCAAAGTTGTCAAGTCCCTACTGGAACACCCATTATAAGTTAATGAAACTTGTTCAGTATGAATATTACTCATGAATAGGTAATTCGATTGACTTTATTATTTGAAGGATATTTCTGTATGTACATTACTAAATGAATTAAGTAAATAAAAATATACCGGGGGATCCAAAACCAACCTTTGCCGCGTAAAATCTCTTGAAGAGCCAATCTCAGCTTATCAGTGTTACTTTCGTCTATATCTTCATCTTCTTCCACTTCTGAGTCGCTTACCCCACTCTCCTCTTCATTCTCCTCATCTTCCTTATTACTATCCTCATCTTCTTTATCACTATCTTCATCACTACTTTCATTATTATATTTGGAAAGAATATTGTCTTTATTCTTGGGATCCAGTACTGACAAAATCTGTTGTGTTGTGATATTCGTCATATATTCGCACAGATATGGAAAAACCGACTTGATAAGACGCCTCAGCAAATGAGAATTATGAGATAATAGATTTAAAAAGAGGTCTATAACCACTTCTATCCATGGTAGGTCATCTTCTTCATGTGATGTCTGTTTTCTAGACGTCTTCACTTTTTCATAACATACGAAGAGCTCTTGCAAAGAATCTATAGCTAGTTTGGTCTCGTTGAATAATTGCAATCCCAGATGAAGGAACAATGTCAAAAACACGTTCTTCAGTTTATTCTTGTGAGTCTTTTTCTCGATCTTGTCAATAATGTAAATAGTTTTGTCCCATACTTCACGAACTTCTTCTGTTAGTTGGTTATTGAGTGTTGCACCACTAGCAGCCATTTTTGTGTGTAAGTGCTTCACAAGACTGGAAAGGATGAACTGGAGGTCCTCTAACTTGGTTAGTTTCATGTCCAATGATCCAAAGAACGCTTTCTTGATAGCAGCTGTAAAGAACATATTGTAATTGAGTACACTGTCACAGTCACGGTGAAAAAGAGTAGCAAAATAAAATAATATTATATGCCATAGGATACCTCAAGTCTGGAACATCTGTTAAGACTGAGCACTTACCTGTTAGCTCATACCCCAAATGAACATCACAGCTATTATCTTTCAGTAAAGCCAACTCCATCAGATAAGTGAGTTGCTCAATCTTGAACTCATTTTCTTCTTTCACACTTGGACTGTTCAAAAGTTTTACCAACATGTGAGTAGCATACAGCCGGTCATTATTCAACCAATTTTTTTCTTTGTCTCCACTTTCATCCTTACCGTGAGCATTTATGACAGTTCTGTATACAACAGCCAGTTTTCTGACACCTTTGCTAGTTAAAGTTAGGGCAATCTGTTGCACAACCTTGCTGCTAGTTATTTTTTCAAAGTTCAATGTACCAGGTGAGACAATGAGCTTTTTCAGTACAGTAATTTTAATTTTGTCAGTCACTTCTTCATGTTTCATTGCTTCAAGCAGTTCGGTCAGAAAACTGTCAAATTTTTGCTTGAATTCAGGGTCTTCATTTGGACGTTGAAGACTTTTTAGGTATTCCAAATTGTGCTGAATGAAATTTTTTGTCAATAGGTCAGGTATGATTGAATGGTCTGTTATGTTCTTTAGGATAAAATTGTAAATAGTGTTAATAATCATCTGCCTATTCCTGTTTGGCTGTTGAATTAGATTATCCAGAGCATTTACAATATCTGGCAAAGAACTTGAGACAGCAATGTCTTTGCTTACTTGTTCATAAACAGGATGTTTCAACAGGTTTATCCTTTGAATTCTCTGAAAGAAATAATTGATCCACTATAAATAATAACCAAAAATCAAGGTAAAATACTATTTCCCTACGTATTTATGTTCTTACATATAACACTTCTGTAGTTTAATCACAAATCATTTATTTTACTTCTTACGCCACTCGGTGAGGAAGTATTGTAATCGAGAAAATTTTTGAAAATGATATATTGTATTTTTTGGATGTTATATGACATATACATCATGAAAAACCATTCGACCGTCGGTCTGTCTTACCGTTAATACTTGGCCCGTCTATAACTTGAGAAGTATCGCTCGGATTTTAATGAAATTTCACACGGTTGTTACTATGCCAAGGACGAAAAAATGTACTAGTTTTTGAAAATCGCTCCAGTGACGGCGGAGCAAAAAGCCAAAAATGAAGATCGCAAAAACTTTGTGTTTCGCCATTTTAGGAGGGTATCTCAAAATTTTTTGATCTTAGTATACTCTTATGCTCCCAAGCCAAGGAATTATCCGCACCTATCAGCTATATTTCCGAAACTCCAGCTATCTAACCTCACCACCCGACGAACGGTCCAGCTGGCTAATCTATTCGTGCTGGACCGCAAAAGCATATACACGAACCATGCACGAACGCAGATGTTAAAAAGGACAACAGATGGACAGTAACTACAGGTAGGGCAGAGAAAAAATGTTTATGGACTAATTGTATGGACCTGTTTGACTGACTTGATCAGTTTAATTTCTCTGTTGTACATGTTCGTGACTGCGTTTTCTCAGAGGGCTCAACTTGCGCTGAACTTATTGCTTTATGAACTATTTGCATTGCTTAGGAACTGCAGAGACAACCTACTTGACGCCACTTTTTTAATATATAACAAGGTTTGAGCAAATGAAAGACAAAGGCTTAGTGGAGAGGAATAAATACAAACCCTTATCAAATGAGTGTTAAAGAAACTATGGATGTATGATTTACATAAGTCTGGATAGTGGCCTTAAATGTGAACTAAGAAGATTACTATTGTTAGTTCTTACCATCAAAATGTTACTGAGACATTCAGCATTTTCTACACATACAATTTCTCCAGAATTGATCCATTTACTTATACCATTGGGCTTGATTTCCTTTATTCCATAAAGTAAAAACAAGAGATCCAAGTTATATTCAGACAAAGGTCTTGTAACTTCAGCTTCAATAGGGGGAATTAACTTTTTCAATTCCTTTCCTTTTACCTATTATGAGGAAAAATCTTAAATAAAAATAATTCATATGCCCAAGAAAATAATAAAGGTAAAATATTACCATTAATGTGCAAAAAGAAAATGAACATTCAAGAGATGATGCACATGAGAGAGAATATATGGTATTTGGGTTTTATATGTATTATGATATGTAATACATATTTGACTGAGACAGACAATATTTTGATTTTGACAGCTTCTATACCAGAGCAAGATGTGTGGTCTTTAAACTAGGAAAAATATACTTTAAATATATTATGTAAGAGAATCGAATAAAGGCAATTTATTATTATTATATAACTACCATTAGTCAAACAAATTCAATAGTTCTTTATTAAAAATAACAAATCTTTGGTTCCATAAGTTTTGAAACAAGAGAATCTTATAAATTGAGACTTATAGACCCCCAGGATAATGGTTGTGTTCAGAAGCAAGAAATTATTATGATAGTGCATTTCAGCTATTTCTATCATTGTTTGTAATATTTTTTTAATGTAAAGAAATGGCAAAAAGTGGAAAAAAGCAGAAGAGTAGTGAAAACAATTGACATGAAAGCTGCCAGAGAAGTGATGCCAAGGTAGGGGCAAAAAGGTAAATGACCTCAAAAAAAATAAGATATATTAAATTATATTATTGTATGTATTCAAGAATCATTTTTTTGCATAGCTGCAGTAATGTACCATTGAATTTCACGAAGGGGGACTTATCAGGGTAAATACTGGAACTACTTGCAAAAAGGAATTGGCGAATTGGCTATTAAACAACGAAAACATTCCTGGTTTGAGGCTAGTTCCAAACTACCATTTTTTGATTTGATGTGTACTGATCAAGGTCATATCACAAAATTGTCACATTTACATGAAAATATGCAATTTGAATTGCACTAGGTGAGGATGTTACAATTTTCAGACACCACTAAGAATGTGTTGTTTTTAATTTGTATATTGTTCAACCAGCAATATTTGTTGATATATGTAGTGACAGTCAGGAGTATACATTTTATTAATATTCAAGCATATTCTGCCTAAATCTTAATGACTACCTTAATTTCATCATATTATCCAAATAAAGCATGAAATTTTACACACTCTGATTCATCTCTACAATTTGCTGATTCGCTTAAATTTGAAACCCCAAATACTGTATATTTACTGAAATAAGAACTCTATATGTGTATAAGAGCACCTAAAAGTGATTCTACTGTAGCAAGACTGCAGAAAATGGTGTATTGCAAAGCAAAAAAGAACTGCCTGTATAGGAATACTGTGGACGTATTAATGAAATAGAATTTTCTCAATATTTTAATTACCTTTCCTAAACCATTCAAAATAAATGTGTAAGCAATGAAGGCCAAATAATTTCTCTCTTTGCATTCTTTCAAAATAAGCTCAACAACTTTTTTCTTCTGTTCCTCTGCACATCTAGACCACAAAGATGATCTGATAATTGCTCCACATGCTAAAATCTGGCCAGTTGCTACATCCGCATTTTCCTAAAAGGAATAACTTTATTAGTTATTTAACAGTACTTCCTACAGTTAATCTTACACTTTTTGTAGAGCTTCCTGTAGCACGTAAATGTTTAGTTACAAGCTCAAAGATATCATCAGTTGTTATAGATTCATCCAAATTGAGAAGACATGATAGAGCTGTATAAAAACCTGTCCTGGCATTAGATGTTGATGCTCCTAGACCCCTGATTAGACGCCCTAATGCATATTTCACTTCTTTGTCCTACAAAATTACATGTTATTTAAAATAAACAAAATATGTAGCCTGGTTTCTACATTACCTTCTCAGAGTTTGTAACATTTGTTAAGTGTTTTAACAAATTGCTTGCACCTCTAACCCGTACATTTTCTTCTGCCTTCGTTAAATTAGAAAAGTGATCCAAAATACTTTTTCCCAGCTTTCTTTTAGTAATATATTTATTATTTTCAGTTTTTTCTACTTCAGTATCTGACATTTTGAAGAGTTCAAAAACAATACTAACCTAACATTTGCACGTGGACGTGGTTGTTCTACAGCGCCACCAGCGATGTCCGGTATCATAGTCCAGTCATAGTAGAGTACGTAGAAAGTTCTTTGGCTGTGTGCTACCTGTGGTGATATTCTGATAGTCCAGTAGGTGAACTTAAAGACAAAATTATTGTTTTTAATATATGAAAGCCGAAAGAGATCGTTTACATCGATTTTTAAAGGATGATGCACTTAATATTCTTTTTTTGCGCAGTATTAGAAATTCGTATCTTGAAAGAATTTTATCCGACCGAAGGAACCAGCCATTCGTATTTAATTTTTGGACTGCGTAGCGTTAGAACGTGATAATACAACTTATATTAAAGCACCAGCATCAGAAAATACAGATTATTTTCCTTGCATCGGCCGTTAATAAGTAAGTTGTTTTCCGATGTGAACATTCTAATGCGTCGTTAGTAAATGAGGAAGAGGTAAGATTAGAAGACTTTGGCTTAAAAGACGACAATAAGGTACTCGAGAACTATGCAGGTCAATCAAATACCAATCAAAACCGTCAAAAAACATAGTGTTCGGAACATCTTCCACTGGTTAGTACTTTAAACTACTAAATTTAATTATTGTTCACTTATTTGAAGTTAAAGTGTTGTACGAGCTAAAATATTGTGTTGATCTATCCAACTACAAGAGAATATTCAGCAAATATGTGACGAGTTCATACAATTTTTCACGAATAAAGGAGAATACTTGGCAAATAATATCAAATAGAATGCTGATGTTCAGCTGCGTGAAACAAAACTAAATAATTCATGTATATTAACTGGAGTAAACTGTCAGGATGTTTTCAATGCAATTATGACTCTAAAAAATAAAAAAGCCCTGGAGTTGACGAAGTTATCGCTGAGCATCAAACAAATACCAGAACCACTTGCTTATATCGTTATCAAATCCTTTCAAACCGGAGTATTTCCATCAGCTTTCAAGACAGCAGTCATCGTATAAAATTTTAAATTCTAATCAATATGGCTTTATAGCAGGTAAATCTACGACACATGGAATATTAAGTCTAGTAGATGAAATTACCCAAAAGATGGGTGAAAAGGTACCATCGATATGCGTATTTTTCGATTTACAAAAAGCGTTTGATACAGTTAACCACAATATACTTTTGGAAATTTTAGAAGGAATGGGTTTTCGCGGAAACATGTTTACTTTAATGGAAAATTAATTATCAAATAGACCGCAATCAGTAAAATTATTAAATTCATATAGTAAAGGAATGTTTGTTAAATGTGGTGTACCACAAGGTACAATTTTGGGTCCTCTGTTAATCAATATTTACTTAAACGATATATTCAAAATTAATAGTACTGGTAAATAGTCAGTTTGAAAGATGTTATCCAAAATGACTTTTGTAAAATTATTCAGTGGTTTAATAGCAGGAAATTAACAATTAACTTTGCTAAAACTCATTTTTTACCACTGTCATCACTATCTAATCATCTACCAAGTTATAACCACCTTCTCTGAAAAGTAAATGCTAAAAATCAAAAAATCAGTTAATCTTACAAGATGTTTAGGAATTTATCTAGTTTCTCAGTTGGGATGCGACGTACATATTTCTTATATACTGAAAAAAATTAGAAAAGTTTTAACTGGTATGTCAACTGAATATTATCTAGGAATATCAGGCCTTAGTCGGACCGCACATAACATATGGTATAGCAGTATGGGGTGCTGCATGCACGACGTACCTTAACGGCTTAGATGTGCTCCAAAGAACAATTTTAAAATCAATCAATCAACTGATCACTTCTATAATGATGCACAAGTATATGATACTAAACAATTCTACTCCTTACGTACCATCACCCATTATCACAAAATTATTAGTGAACACGAAACAATTAAACATAGTCATAACACCAGATATAAATTACGCGCAAAAAATATTCCTAAACCAGACAAATCTTCAATGAAACGATATCACCTGTTTTTAGCTCCAAAATTGTATGAACATCTACCAAATAATTTAAAAAAATTACGGAATACCTTAGGTTTAAAAAAAAAATTATTATTAACACGCTTGGGAGAAATAACATTAATAGAATAATATCAAATATTACATAGTAAATACTATGATTCTTACAAATAGTTATGCTTTTTTCTCTCGATTCTTTCTTTTTTTATCTATTGCAACTCAACATACATAATAATATGATCCATGCACAGGTATTGTCCTTCTATGGACAAATTATATTTATTTACTCGTTTCATGTTCCCTGTACTTTAGAGTAAATAAATATTAGTATTACTATTACTATGTTATTCTAAGTATGTGAAATGTAAAATTCATCTTAATTTTCATTTTATTTTTAGGTTATACGTCAAATAAAGGAGAGTAGGGATATGTTTAATTTGTGACACGTTGTGCAGTTTTGAGTATTCTAAGCTTATTTTAATATTATTTTATTTTGATTTCTTAAAGTATCATGTTTTGATAAAAAGGATTGTCGTACTTACTTAAAAAAAATAAACAAGTACACAGCATATTCTGGGTTTTTATTAAATTAATATTTTATGGATCACATCGTTAAACATTTACGTTTGATGAAATCGTCAATTCTACGATATGGCTACGACACCTACATCTTGCAGACCATAGTGCCGAAATATATATACATATAGCCAGGCTATCTTACTTATATTATAAGTATATACTAATATACTATTTAGTCTCGTCTACGTCCTCTTCGGAGGTGAGGGAAGCCCTCTGAACGGATGTGGATCCACCACAACAGCCTCGCTCCGAGTCTATCGGTATAATTTTTTATCCGATCGCCCTTACATCAACATTGCTTACAACTCATTAACCATTATTGTGATTGCCCATAGCATATAAAGTAGTTGGGCCTTAATGCATAGATGAAAGGAGAATATTTTATACAGGGTCCGTCAGAAAGAACGCATGTTTGAGTAAAACAAAATTACGTTCTAAAAAATATGTCGCCATATGGCGCCCTTGAGCCGACATGCAGGAATCAAGCCTCTCCTGAAATGAGCCCATTGCGTCAGACAGCATCCGTGCAGGAATTTCGCTTACTTCTCTTCTTATTTCCTTCTTCAAATCGACGAAGGTCCGAGGCTTGCTTTGGTAAACTTTTGATTTCAGGTAGCCCCATAAAAAAATCACCGTTGACAGGTCCGGGGAACGAGGGGGCCATCGAATATCGCCTTGACGTGAAAGGAGAGAATTTTTGCCGAAGAAGTTCCATTGAAGTGCGAGCTGTGTGAGATGTTGCCCCGTCTTGTTGGAACCAGACTGTTCTGAGACGGACACGTAGACGTCGAAGTTCCGGAAAAAAAGTTGATCAGCATGTGGATGTAACGCTCTGAATTCAGAGTAGTTGTTTCTCCATCATCCTCAAAAAAATAAGGGCCAATAATCATCGTTGGGCCTACTGCACACCAAACTGTAACTTTCGGGGTATGCAGGGGGGTGCTCATGCGACTGTTGGGGTTCGATGGAGACCAATTTCAACAATTTTGTTTATTGACGTATCCATGTAAATGAACATGTGCTTCATCACTCATAAACAACGTCATGTCATTGTTATCCAACTGTTCCATCATGAGCTGTGCAAAATTAACACGATGTGCATAATCCCCTGGCAACAGTTGTTGACAAACTTGGATTTTGTAAGGATGGAATACTAAATCCTTTTTCAAGATGCGACGTAGAAGACGCGTGGATCCCTAGGGTACTTTCACGCAAACGGACGGAATGATTTGGGCTTTGCCAGCGTGCCAACTCTCACTCTGTCTACATGTTCGGGGACTCTAACAGTACGTTTTCGCCCCGGCGGTTTTTTCTTCATCACATTACCTGTTGTGTTGAATGCTTCCACCGATCTCAAAATGGTGTTACGGTCTGGTACTGTCCCACGACGTGGAACAAGAAAGTAAACGCGAAACTCACGTTGCGTTCGAACGACTCACCATTTTGAAAGTACCGACGTACAGTGAACACACGATGCTCAACGTTCCAAACCATCTTGCCAACGGAAACGGCACATCTCCCACTATCCAACACGCCGTTCCCCACCGACACGGGACCAGCCCATTCGAAAAACATGCGTTCTTTCTGACGGACCCGGTATAATACATTTATACACAATACATATTTTATAAAATACATTTGTGTACAGATAAACTATATAGTCATCTTTATAAAAATTTTATAAATATTTTTTTGAAATCGCCAAAGCGTGTGACTAGTTTGAATAAGCAATTATGATTTGTCCTGCTTTTCGTAGGTTTAATAATGGCGTCGAGTATATTGATTCTATAATATTTCAAATGTAAAAATTAAATATCTTCGAATGACTATTTTGTGTTAATCTATTTTATGATTCTTTTGGAAATATTGCAAACTATGAAAGTGAATCAGATTCAAAAGTTTTTGATAAGGCGCACATAGTCTGATGACGGCATAATGTGGGATGCAACAGAATATACAGGGTTTGTCCGGAAAGTAATAGGACTGAGTCGATTTAAAAAAAATTATTCAGCCAATCGTTACAATTCTCTAAAAACTTTCAAAATAGGCTCCTTCTGCGTCGATGCAGCGCTGCCAGCGCGATTTCCAAGCATTGAAGGCGTCGCGGAAGGCATTCTCCGGAATAGCCTTGAGAGCCGCGGTGCATGCTGCTTGGATCCCCTCTGTCGTCTTTCGGCCTTTTCAGGCGAGGAAACAAAAAAAAGTCCGGGGGCCACATCTGGGCTGTAGGGCGGCTGCGGAAGCGTTGGGATGCCGGCCTTGGTCAGGTAGCTGTTCACAAGAAAGGCGATGTGAGCCGGGGCGTTGCCGTGGTGCAACTTCCAGTCGGCTGCGATGTCTTGTCGGACCCGACTGACCTTTCGTTTGAGTCTCCTGAGCACTTCCTCGTAAAACTTGGCGTTGACGGTTTTTCCAGGAGGAACAAATTCATGGCGGACGATGCCTTTGATGTGAAAAAAGACAATGAGCATCGTTTTCACTTTGGATTTGCTCATTCTCCCTGTTTTGTGCGAGGAGACGCCGTCGTGTGCGACTCGGAAGATTGCCTCTTTGTCTCGGGAACATACTCAAAGATCCACGACTCGTCACCTGCGACTACGTTATTTAAAAATTGGGGGTCACTTTCACACATGTTCAAATTTTCTTGGCACACTTCCACTCGCCGCAATTTCTGGTCGTCACATCTTCGCGCACACCTTGCGCATGTTCAAATGCTGTGTCACAATGTCATGACAACAGATTTTGGTAAATTTAACATCTGGGCAATTAAACGAATACTTAGTCGACGGTCTGAGTTCAAAACTTTGCGCACACGAGTCACATTATCGGTGTTTGTCGAAGTCGAAGGTCTTCCAGCACGGTCTTCATCAGCGACCTCTTCCCGGCCCTCCAAAAAGGCCAGGTGCCACCGAAACACACCAGTTCTTGCTAAAGCAACACCTGGCTAAGCCTGCTTGATCATATCAAACGTCTCTGTCGCAGATTTACCGAGTTTCACACAGAATTTAATCGCGTACCTCTGCTCTAACGAACGATGCATTTTCGGCTTGCACCACTCACAGAAACACGTCGCGCGAAAAGTGCCTGTCCTGACTCTCCAAGTGCTCAGAGACAACTGACCAGCCGCTCATTCGTTAGCTAGGAACGCCCTCTACCGAATCCAGTCGGTGCGCGCACGCTCCGAAGTACAGTCATGGCGGAAAAAAATGAGTCCTATTACTTTCCGGACAAACCCTGTATATCTAACAATCCACTTGACGCCATTACTTACATGCTTATTATATGTTGTGTTATTTTACCGAATGAAAATGGATGGAAACTTGGAAACTGTATGATTTTTAATGATTAATTCCTGTGAAGTGAAGTATTATTTAAGTTAGCATTACTAACAAAACCCTGTATACATTTGTTTTTGAATATAATGCAATTTGAAGATAATAGAGGAGGCATGTGTCAATCCTGTAAGCAATCGTCAGATAGTGCTGTTAACCATGGTTCCAGGATTGTTATCTGTAGTGTAGCTAATAAAATCTGTTCATGCCACTACGAAAGGAACATGACGCCATGGGATGCGATACGATGACGAGGTGTACAGCTACAGCGTCTGTGCCTTAAATAACACCCCGGCCGTGGGAGACATTGATACACTGTGAAATTCCCCGACCGCCAGGCTATAGAAACTGGCGTTAGCTAATACCTCTTTTCACCACGTTCCAAATAAGGATTCCACCAACCCATCATACTAGATATAACTCGACCAACAACCATAATTACGTCAAAGATATGTTATTTGATCTGCAAGCTAAAGACCTCCGACCTTTTATCAACAAGATTATAAAAAAATCATTCAGAAAAACGGTTCTACCGTTTGAGTAAATTGACCGATTTTCAAAGGTTGACTTAGAAATCCACAAATCAACCAATTTCATTTTATAACTCATTCAGCCATATTCGTTGACTTTGGGCTGCTTACAAATATGATGAACGAATTTTCATCAAACATAACTAAGAATCATCTCGAGACAGACATCACTTTCGATTAGACAGCCGAGGCCAAATCACGTCATCTGCTGGGATCTATGATGGTACAGACAAACTCATACAAAAGGCACTATACATAAAAGTTTTGCAATATGACTGAACAAACAGACACAGGAGGCTGCATGTTACTCCATGTTGAGACATGTTCATGAGTGCATAGTAGCCGCCAGTAGCACGTCTGTTGATTTAGTTGTTCATTTGAATTGACAGTGTAAAGTGCGGACTGGTCACGTAGTGAGATAAGGACAGTTTTACGGTATAACTCTACGCGTGATTTAAGCATAGATCAGTGCTTAGAAGAAATGACGCTTGCATTAAAGAATGATTGTCCTCATCGTAGGACTATATTCAGGTGGTACAGCAAATTCCAAAGAAACAATCTCACTCTGGAGGACGCTGAGAGGGAAGAAAGGTCGCGAACGTCAGTAACATAGGAAAACATCATTGCTGTGAAGAAAATGCTGACGAAGACCGAGAGTGACATACTAACAGATAGAGGAGACCTTACACCTTCATGTACCAGCAATTCATTCAATTCTGCAGGACCATATACACACATATACAAGGAAACTTTGTTCTCTATGGGTACCACATAGTCTGACGGAAGAGTAGAAGATTCGTCGTACGACTTGGTGCCGAAAGATTCTGAAAATGTTTGATAAGGGACAATCTCGGTTGGTAAACAGCATCGTGACGAGACTTGGCTCTATTATTACGTTGTACCGACCAAGGCTCAGAACAAAGTTTGGGTCTTTGATGATCAGGACACGCCCGTAGCCGTCAGAGAATCCCGGTCTGTTAAGAAAAAATGATAGCTGTATTCTATTTTTCACATTGAGCGGGATGGTGGTGCGTGTCGTTTTGGACACACAGAAGACAATCACAGCTAAGTGGTACACGGAACAGTGCCTGCCTTACATCATAGAGTCTATGAAAAACCTGCTGCCAAAGTCAAGAATGGTACCTCCACTATGCCAATGCTGCAGCTCAGCGCGCCAAAGCCTTCACCGAGTATTTGACCAGTACTGGACTGAAACTTATTGAGCACCCTCCTTACAGTCCAGATCTTGCCCCCAGCGACTTTGAACTGTTTCCACATTTGAAAATGAAACTTTAAGGAAAACGTCCTTCTAGCGATGAGGACCTTCTGAGGCATTGGAACAACGAGTGTGCCGCACTCTCGGGTGAAACTTGGCAGAGCTGGCTCAAGGACTGGTTTTGGCGGATGGAGAAGTGTTTTGAATGTGGTGGAAATTACGTTGAACGAAGTTCATAAATAAATCTGTATTGCAAAACTTTCATAGTAGGTACTCTTTGTACATACACATAGAAGCGTTCAACTTATAACACTTTTTTTTGCATCGGAGGATAGAAACAGAAGCTTTTGGATTGCCCTCGTAGCATTTCTCTTCGGAACCAGAAACAAAAGCCTAGCCGCTGTCCACGAACCCGCGATCCACCTGATGCGGTTAGTACCCACTCTCCAAGAGTCGTACGTGCATTCCGTGGCGGCAGTACGCGCTTTACATCCAAGATGGCCGTGCTTAAGCCAACGCGCCCGAGAATTCGAACAAATGACACCTTAGGTCACTAACTGCAGCTTATCATTCAACATAACTGTCGCCGACTCGAAATGAAGCACTGTCCGATAAGTGGTACAACTTTTACGTGATTTGGTATCCGGAAAAATTGTGTGTGTTGCCCGGAAATTGACTGCCTAGTGTGTGAGTGATTGAATGCCAGAGCTTTGAAGGTTACAACGTGCAAATTTAAAGTTCTTTGCATACTTTCGCAATGGTACAACTAACTCTCTGTTATTAGTAGTCTCTCGAATTAATGACTGCGTTAAGTTTCAATATTGGTTCAAAGTGCTGATATAGAAATAAATAATATGATTTTTGAAGCAAGAAGAGGTAGAAGAGAATGTCGCATAGAGATTTCACGGAGGTAAGTACTGCCTATATGCAGTAGCTACGCATACCATACTTGCTTTTTTCGTTTTATTTCACTCATTGAAACGTATACTTAAGCTCGGCAAGCAGGTACTTATTTCACTGGTAATATTCGTTCCGAGAAGAGAGTACCATTATGCAGGTAGTAGGTTGTACCTAGTCATGCGAGATGCTTTTTTGGGTATAATTAATTTCTCGTGAGTACGTATTGCAAAAATATACCTATCTTAGCTTTCGTTGAGTTTTTCAATATAACCGAATATCTGTGGAGTGCCATAGCAACTCAAGTACTCAATGGATAAAATAAAGCTAGAGATGTTCTTCGCAGAATATACCTCAATCAACAAATTCGAAGTTAGAAGGGGTCAAGACTATATGTTTACATTGTATTATTTGTAGCCAACATTGCGTGGATTTAGTGTACACTTTTGACTCATTTGATAATTGTCTATCAAAGTGAGAATGTTTCATCAATATAACAATACTACTTACTGGTGGAAATATCTACCTTCACTAGGCTTGTGTGTGTTGAAACTTATGCAAGAACTATCATGTTCTGGAACCGTCTATAGCACCACAATTATTTACGAACACTTGTAATTTAAAAATAACACTAAAGATATGAGTGAACAGACAGAACTGTCAAAAAATCAAAACTTATGACAAGTCCATTTGTAATACTTATAACACGCTCATTCATTCGGACTACAGACTCGGATATTTTGGAAAGAAACAAATAGTTGGCTTGCTCTTTCTACCTATCCAGAATTCGTCGACCTAAATAGCATCTAAATATTGCAAAAAGTTGCCATTAAGCTTTTTACTGTGGAAACTACCTAATGAAAAATCTTGATATCAGTTTATATCCTCACTGAAATTGTTAAAAAAAACGGTTTTATTATTTTGTTTAAAACTGGCTTTTGGCACCTTTTATAAACAAATCCCATTCCTTAAGGGCCTAAAAAAATATTTTCACTTTCTAGTGATTATCTAAACGCATTTTAACAAATATTGAATCTGTTCAAATCTCCCACTTGGTACAATGTGATGGTGAGTTGTCTACAGGGGGTGAGAAGCTTAACGTCTAAGAAGCATACCGTCGAGCTGCCCTAAACAATTGTTGACTATGCTGAACCATGTATCCTCAAGAAAAATGACTGCCTGAGAGATTTGGTACTTCTCTGTAATTATAGCGGTGGCGTCCAGCAGGGAACGGCTTGGTAATTAATGGTCCTGAAACCTTGAACAAAATACTTTATCCCACCTCCGGACAAAGCGCCACGTTCGTAACTTGAAAACTAAAGCCAGAAGAAATTATCAAATTAGTGCAGTAGCGGACTAAGGGGGGCGGATGGTGCGGCCCGCCCCGAGTCTCCAGTGTAAGGCGCCCTCCAAATGTTGGCAAATTTCATTTTACAACCATTAAATAAAGCGTTTCTTATAATTACCCAATAAAATAATGTAAAAAAGTTAAACTTAGATTTTTTATGTATTACAATACCCAGAGATACCTAATTGTTTATATGAAATTACTGCGTACGCTTTCCGTTTCTTGTTGTTATTGCAATTTAATAAGCGATACATTGGTTGTGCATTTTTTCTTAATTTGATTTTGTTTGTTTTGTGATTTTTTTTAGAAAAATCTCTAATTACAGAAAAATAGAATACCTGTATGTACTTTGAAGGACAACTCTATTCTTTTGATAGTATATTTAGGATTATAGGTTATAATAGTTTGTGTTGATTAGACCAGAAAGGTGGTGGTGTGGACTTTAGTGAATCATTGCCCGTTTCAGTAGCATCATGCGAGGTTTTTTTCTAAACTGAAGCTTATAGAAAGTTAAGACCCAAGAATGATTGGTTCATTTATCCATGTTATCAATTAAAAAGAAGCTTTCAAAAGAAATAGATTTTTAATAAAGTTATTGAATAAATAAATACATTTATTTTCCATACTACTATAAAAATCACAGTATCGGAATTATCAATAAGAAAGGAACTTCGTGGCTTTACAAATATGCTCTAGTCATGTATAAAATAAACACAAATAACAATAATACACAGATACAAATTATAAACATCAGTGGTAAATAAATGAATCACATATGATATTCGGAAACATTGCTAAAATATTCTGGAACGCTACGCTACAGAAGGGACTGTTTAACATAATGTCCTTAACCTTTGGTTTAAATAGATGCAAGTTGGTTGTTACCCCTCTATGGAATATGGTAAGTGGTTATAAAGTCTTAGGTACAGCCATAACTGTGGGACATTTGGCCGTCAACGATAATCTATCAGAAGGAATAACTATCTCGTCTGACTGGCGTAATCCGTAGCACTTAATTTCTTCTATTTTGATGTAAAAAACTTCAAGATTTTGTTTAATGTATTTTAAGCAACTATACATAGGTATATAAAGAGTGGGCTGTATTAAAAAGTTTAGCAAAATGAGTGCAAACATTTGTAATAGTTATGTCTTTCTAAATAAACAAAATCTATCTGATACTATGTGAAGATACACAAATATACGGATATATGTATCTTTGATTCGTTTATTTGTTAACCTTTTCAGTTTTGCCTTGTTACAATTAAAAATACTACTTACTACCTATTATTATGATTAGGTAAGCGAAATTTTGTTGCCCATAATAAGTAATAAGAATAAAAGCACAAACAATACATCATAAACTAAACGATTTTTTTCATCCATTTGTGTTACTAATTTTTTACGCATCATAGAATTGTCACACAAGGGTTGCGTTGCGAAATAATTCGTAACGCTTATTTATTTCAAGTAGGCCATCATAACATTCTGTGTGCTACCGCGTTTAGAGATTCACGAAAACTCAAAACAAGGCTAGAAATGAAAACAAGCATGAAAATCTAGTTCGGGATCGATACCCGACCCCTCCACCACACGTGTCACGAACCGCTACTCAAAGGGTAAGTGCCTTAAGCATTCAAAAACTCCGAGGGAAACAACAATTATCTGTAGACATTGGTTTATTAAATGGATGTTTCAACAGAAGTGTCTTAAAATTACTTTTACTTTCTCACAAACCAAAACTTACCTGAGGACCATCTTACTGGATGATTGGCTCTCTTTCTATTTTCCTAAATTGTGTATTGTTTTTATTGGAATCTGTTGTGAAGACGGAGCACGCATCGCCTATATTAGTCAATTATTTTTAATTTTTGTTTTCATTTCTGGTCATGCGTCTCCAGTTCTTGTTTTTGAGTTTTCGTAAATTTCTAAACACGATGGCACACAAACATGGCCTCCGAGGGGCTTAGTACGCCACAGAATTAATGGGGCGCTAATTTGGACGCCGAGCGTATTATTGCATTACAGATAAATCCTATAATAGTATATTATATATATAAATTTTTATGAAGTAACGGCAAACATCGCATAAAAGATATAAACAGTAGGATTTCAGGAGGATTGTATAGTTCAACAACCGTACGACTTGACAAAGTCGCCGGCCGTGCATCTCAGCGTGAGCGCCATAACCTTAAACGACCTTGTGAATATGAAACAAACATCTTAAAACAGAAGTGAAGACAAGGTGCTGAAATAAAAATGTATAGACTCAAACCGATTATTTCTACCTGAATCGTTAAAATGTTGCCGACCGCGCGGTAGGCTTCCTGTCTAACGTATCATTAAAGTCTCTTCTCTAGACGAAATTCAACGCTGCGTCGAGAAATGCCGCGGCGCACCGGAATGACTGCGGTTTTGGTTATCCTGTGAATTACTTTGAGTCGCCGCTATTGAGGAATATTGTCACGATTAAATCGAAAAAAAATATAGCGCTTCTAAGGCCCGCAGGGGTATTATGTAAGAAATCTAAAAAACGTCCAAAACAAAAACTTGACGAAATGTCATCTTGCACATTAGGTAGTTTGTAGTGTGCAAATAGTTCATTCCGCGTTTGATCGCTATACGCTGACGTTTAAGCAACGCATATAGCTACAAAACGAGTTCACAACAAGTGTACAACAGCTTGCAACTGTGATAGATGGTGCTTCGCGCTATCTCATGCTGATAAACCGCACCTCCGGTAAAGAGGATCAATGTGGTGCTTTCGTTTGTTCGTCCAGAGATAAGAGACCAATCCTACACCATGCTGATGAGTAGCTTAGAAACTCGAAACAGCTATCCATGGTTGGCTGTCTTCTTTTCTTGGTCGAACAGACGAAGGCATCTCATCTTGTTTTGATGCGATAGACGGCGCTTCGCGCTATCTCATGCTGATTAACCGGTAGAAAGGATCAACTTGATGCTTTCGTTTGTTCGTGAAGAGATAAGAGACCAATCCTATTCCATGCTGATGAGTAGCTAAGAAGCACGAAACAGCTGTCCATGGTTGGCTGTCTTCTTTTCTTGGTCGAAAGGACGAAGGCATCTCATCTCGTTTTGACCTATTCAATAGCTATCTGACTACTCTGCATTCTGCCAGAATCATCAGCCATTTAGCGGCCGGTTATTGAACGGGAATCTGCAACAGTTCCGAGTAATAGCAGCGGTACGCGATATACAATGGTTCGATTCTGGTGCGATAGATGGCGCTTCGCGCTATCTCAAGCTTGGGCTAAGTTAACATCTTGTAGAAAAACCTACGTTATGTCACGAACAACTTATTAAATGTCAAAAAGAAAACGACAAAATGTCACTGTTCTATTGACTGGCGGGAATCAAAATTTGCGACTATACCTAGGTATCCCTAGTACAAATTGGACCAATCTTAGTAGTAGCGAAGCATTGGATCTAGTGAATTGGGTCTATTTCTTTCAAGCTAGCCGAAAGTTATTCGATTTGTTTAAGACGGGTCCTAATTCCCACATTAAAACAAAAATACTTCACAAATCATCTGGTTTAGCTACAAAAACTTATTTTTTCATATTCGCCCGAACAGACCAATTGACGCAAATACCACCAATCAAAAAGGATTTGTGGCCTACTCGGAACATCAGTTATACTTACTACATGGACTTGTTAATGCTTCCGAGTATATAAATGCGCCCTCTACAACTTCAATCACAGGAGCCACAATGACAAACACGAACTACAACACTAGAGCAAGACAGGACTTGAGAATACCTTCACATATACTGTCAATGTTCACAAAATCACCAGCCTACGCCAGCACCAAGGTATTCAAAAGTTCCCATCGATACTAAAAGATACTAGATGCCCAAATTGGTTCAAGAAAGAGCTGAGGAATCTGTTAACACAAAAATGATAATATTCAGTAGCTGAGCTTCTTTCACCGTAAGAGTGATGCACCTAAAATTAAATTAATAACTAAAGCGGTGTATATATACCTGCGTACCTTTTATTTTTTCATTTTTCTATCGTTATTAGACTTACCCCTTATACATCCTGTTCCGTTTATTTTTTCTGTCTGCTTGTTTAGTGTATGTTCGCGCATGCACACATGCGTCATTTGTCCTTTTTCCACTAACTGTGATTCTTATGCTCCTTTTTCGACAAATTTATGTATTTGTACTTAAATATATTTTTAAATTTTGGAGATAATAATGTGCTTATAAAGATATATCTGACGAGTCTTATATCATATCTATGATATCCGAAAACAATAAATCATCTATCTATCTATCAATACCTGGTACAATATAGGAGAGGACACCAGGCAGCAGGGGTGGCCGCAGTAGTACTCTTCGGTCTCCTGATCAGTCGCCGTGCGCTGTGCAGGTTCGAATCCCGTCCCAAGAGAAATTTTTCTCTTGGCGATGGATGTTGTGATTATCCGTAGGTGGTAGACGGTCTCTGACTGTCGAACGCAGGGGTACCACCCGGCGGATCTCATAGGCGGGGCCAGAATGTGTGCATGTTGCATACATACGTAGAGCGATTGAAAATAATGGTATCTCACTGTTGCTGTACAAAATTCTGATTGATAAATTATTTGAGGACAAATAAATTGGAACCTGTCGCGCACTCTACTGGACGATATAATGACTACACCACTATGCTGGCATCCATGCATACAGACAACACTGAAATCCAACTTTATCTACTTCAATTTTGAATATAAAAGTTCTTAGGAAAGGCGCCTTCGCATTATAAACAGTAATTTTACTATCTCATTTTAGTGCCACGAGATTTTATGGAGTAGAACTTATGCAGGGTGTCCCTCTATTTCCAATATCAGGTATTCCGCCTTTGTATTACTTACCTTACAAACTCACGAATTAAGCAGAATTGTTCATATGCTGCATCGCAGATACTATTTCCTCCTTGCTCTACATGAGTAACCCAGAACTAGTAGCTACTTGAATATCTGCCAGAGAACGAGTATATGTCGATGTATCGGTTGATCATTTTGATAGGCAATGGTAGACAGGTTAGCACTAAATCTACACACTTTTGATGATAAACAATGCAATGTGAATATATAGGTTTGGTCTGTCATTCTGGCCTGCGTGGTGAGAATTTCTGACAAGTGTATGTATCCGTAGCCAAATATTGTAGCAATAATATTGCTCAAAATAAAAAAATGCTCTGCTTTCGTCCATCCGAACAAATACATCCAACCATGGACAGCCGTTTCGTGCTTTTTGGCTATTCCTCAGCATGGTCTAGGCTTGGGTCTTCCGGACAAGAGCGAAACCATAGCTGCTATATCTACACTATTCAAAGAGTAAAAGTAGATGACGCTTGGTGCTGTCTTACTTCGATAGATCACGCGCTTTGGATAGAAGATAGAAGATATCGTTCATTGTCCGAGAGATCCAAATCCAGACCATGCTGAGGAATAACTTAAAAGCACAAAATTGCTGTCCGTAGTTGGCTGTCTTTGGACGCATAGGCATGTTAATTTTTGTTTTGTTCGATGGCAAGAAGACCGCATCTTCTACAAACCTGAAATCGTCGCCATCTATCGGCCACGGGATAAATGGCTTGCAATCGCGGATTAAGATCTATACAGTCCCTACCGGTAAGATGCGATTCACTGTTTCGCAGTTGTCTATTCTAGCGGTTGATGGCGCTTCGCGCTGCCTTATTTCAGTGGTATTGTTCGTTTAGAGGCTCCATAAAAGCCCATTTACATACACGACTTGCGTCGCGCGACAAAGCTCTTTATGAAGGAATTGTTTGTTATAATATTTCCTATCTTTTACAGGCAGAACCAGAAGGAACATCTGAATTACCTGCAGCAAACCGAGCACTTTTCTTGGAAAAGGTAATTCCGATTCAAAGAATACTAATTAAGTACCACAAAGCTAATAGCAAAAACACTCATATACTCTTAGTTGCAGCGGAAGTAGTTCTCTTCATATGTTCAAAAGCATCTAATCTCATCACTTTAAAGGCAGGAAGTAGTTTCAGCTTAAATATATATTTAAAAAAATAGCATTGTATATTTCTCCGAGCATAATGGGAATGCCTTAATCAACATTTCCGTATGCCGTACATTTACAGTTTTACAATATTTTCTCACAATAATAGTTGTCTAATAACTATCATTAGTCTAAATAAAAGTATGTAGTGATTTTGAACACAGTAGGGTACAAGGTTCGGTTTTCTCGACACATTATACACTCACCTATCAAACATCTTGAAATATCAATACCCAAATTAGATATTATTTTCGCAGACTATAAACAGACATTGAAGTAACTTGACCATTTAAGCATTGTATGTGGGTGTGTGTGAGTATTATTATTCCTATTATTGTCCTGCCGTCCCTTCCTGTCCGGAGTGTGAGATTCTTCAGATCACACCTCACACCTCTAAGCATTATGGTTAGGGGTCGTTTTTGTAGAATGATCAAAGAGATTATGCAGCGAGCTGTAGAATCGTGATGTAGGGAGGTTGATCTTTCTGTCAACGCTGGAAAGGCCGAGCTGATTCTATCCACCAGGAGAAGGAAGCTTGATGGGCTTGTTTTGCCGACCTTCTTTGGGACTAGGTACTAGTTCTATCCCAATCAGTAAAATATCTAGGATTTAATTTGGACTGTAGACCAAATTGGAGAGAGTATTCTGAGTACAAGGTTACCAAGGCTCGCAATTCATTGTGGGCTTGCAGACGTGTTGTCGGAGTAAGATTGGGGCTTAAACCCAAAGTGGTACAGTGGTTCTATACAACGATAGTACGTCCATCTCTTTTGTATGGCTCACTGATTTGGTGGCCTGGCATTGGAACCGAGACAACTAAGACCAATTTCAGCGGTTGGCTTGTACCAGTGTTACAAGTGCAGTGCGGACAGCAGCTCTGCTGGATCTCCCACTGTTGGATCTAGTGATTCGCTGAGAGGTGAGAGCACTCGCACATCGAATGTGGAATCAGGGCAGCTGTGGCTCTTTGAATCGTGTTAAGGTTCACACTGCCATCTTAGATGAATTGCAAAGGGGGAATCTTGTACTTCTGAGCAGAGGTGATCTGATCACTCCCAAATATCGCTTTAACGGCAAGTTTAATGTGGAGTATCCGACGAGGGCGGAGTGGATCTCCAAAAGCCGGAAGGTCTCCGAAAAGAGTGGGCAGGTCTGGTACACGGACGTCTTCGTTACTGAAGAGAGCCGTGGCGCCGGAGTCTTTGGTCTTAGGTTAGGCTATCTCTGCCTCTCGGCGGATAACCCACTATTTTCTATCTATGCGATTTCGGCTTGTGGACCCCGCATTTTGGAGGGGGAGGGGCCTAGGAGAAAAATAATAATCTTCGACAGCCAGGCTGCGATGAACTCACTAAGTACTCGCAAGATTATTTCGAGCCTTGTATTGCAATGCAGGGAGGCTCTCGTTAGTGTGGGTATCGGGACACGCTGGGTTACAGGCCAATGATATGTCGGACGCTCTTGCAAAAGCAGGATCAGCGAGCAAGGTTGTTGGTCCTGAGACAGTCCTAGGGGTGCCCGCGGAGGAGTCAGGAGGAAAATGGAGAATTTTATTGCTAGACAACATTCTCAGAAATTGAAAAGCATCTCTAGAAATATCTGTCAGGCACGGGAGCTTATCGCAGGGTCTATTGTTAAGGATGGCCGCTTTTGCTTATCTTTGAATAGAGCCAACCTCAGGTTGTTGGTGGGACTGTTGTCTGGCCATAACAGGAGCAGTTGCCACCTACATATGATGCGATGGCTGAGGATCCCATGTGTGAGCGCTGCGGGACAGAGGAAGATCCTCGGCGCATATTCTGTGTCACTGTGAGGCTCTGAGCTACTACAGTTAGACTATACTTTGGATCCCCACAATACTGAGGAGCTGGGACTCAGGACTATACTTAACTTTGCTAGAAGGGTGACGCTGAGGCTAAGAGAATGTGGGGGTTCATTCATTCAACTCAACAAGACTATCATATACAGGGTGTTTCAGTTTATTGTTGCATAACTTTAAGATTCGATAGAACTTTTAAAATTAATGCATAAAGTCTATATAAAAACGGGTCGAAAAATGCGTGGCTTCCGACATACAGGGTGTTTAAATTTACTTTTTGAAATAGCTATTTTTAAATATTTCGAACAATATTTGATGTATAATAGTGAAAATTGGAATACAAGGGTTTTTTGGTACGACAAAACGAACCATGTGCATAGTTTTACTGTAGCCGCTAGAGGGGGCCTCTACTGAAGCTGTAGTGTATTAAAATGACAGAAAATTTTTTCTTAGTAAAATTTTTTGCTTTTGGAATAAAAAACTGATTCTTCGCACTTTTCTGCATAAAAAAGCTCTCCTGTGAGTTTTCGTTATAGTTAGATATTTCGATTTTTAAGGTTCGATGCATTTTTAATTATTTATAGGAAAATAATATTTTTTTTACATTTTCGATTTGGGCATTACAAGTAATTAAGATGATCGTTTAGATTGTGTTTTTAAACACAGCAATAATTCCTAACTCCAAATAAACACAAAAAATATTAATTTGTTTAATTTTCCAATATTATTTTAAACAAATTAAATTAATTATTTACAACTAAAATGCTATTGGATAGTTAGGACAAACATACAAAATCTAAAGTACTTGCTCGAAATGTAAACCCAATTGTTCAATACACAATTCACATCTACGAATGATCGAACGTGGTATAGCATTATTCAAATAAGGCCTTATTTCATCAGATGCATTCCTGATTCTGTCTATTAGCATATCTCTTGTGGTTACGGGAGTCTGGTACACTTTTTCTTTTAGAAATCCCCACACAAAGAAGTCTAATGGATTTAGGTCAGGGGATCGTGGAGGCCAGGCGACTGGTCCTCCACGGCCGATCCATCTTTCTGGATAATTTTCGTCCAGCCAGTTTCTAACTATTCTCGAATAACGATCTGGACAACCATCAAGCTGGAACCAGGCCAATCTTCTTAAATCTAACATAACATCATCCCACATATTTGCATGTTCAGCCTTTAAAAATTCCAAGAAGGTCGCAGCATTTAACCTTGCAGGCAAAAGGTAGGGTCCAAATAGTCGATTACGGTAGATACCAATCCACACGTTCACACTAAATTCATGCTGAAAATTTCTTTCCCGAACTGCATGCGGATTTTCATCCGACCAAATATGTTGATAATGAAAATTTACCACTCCACGTCTAGTGACTCATCGGTCCATAAAACTTTACTTAAAAACTCCCTATTATTATCAGTTCTATCAAGAATCCACTGACAAAATGTGATTCTTCGTTCTCCGTCCCCTGGCTGTAGTCCTTGCACAGGTTGCAAATGGTAAGGACGTCTATGGTCATTTCTAAGAACACGGTGAACATGGCTTGCTGAAATTCCCAAGGCACCAGAAACTCTCCTAACACTTTTGGTCGGATCTCTATCAAACTCACGCAGAATCATACGGGTAAATCTGCGCTGACGAACATTTATGTTTTGATCCCTTCGGAGATTTCCAAAACCATTTTTAATTATTTGGCGATGCACTCTTACAAATACTGAGCGAGTTGGATGTCGTCTGTTTGGAAAGCTTCGTGCGTATTCTCTGGCCGCTTCTGCTGCGTTTCCATTTACAAAGCCATACACAAAATGAATATCCGCTAACTCTTGATTGGAGAATAAAAATGGCATTTTTATAAAACTTACAAAAAAAAATAGGTAAAAGAAACTAAATTTCGTGCATTCACAATTGCAAAAAAACGTTTCAGGTTTCAACAGACAACAAAACTAACTGTCAACTAATTGACGTTTAACCTTATTCTGCTTTCAATTTCAAAAATATTTGCAGGTACAGCCTACTTCTAAAAATTATCGAGATACTGACTTTTTAACGTTATTTTATCATAAATAATTAAAAATGCATCGAACCTTAGAAATCGAAATATCTCAAAAACGGCTAACTATAACGAAAATTCACAAGAGAGCTTTGTTATGTTGAAAAGTGCGAAGAATCAGTTTTTTTATTCAAAAAGCAAAAAATTGCACTAAGAAAAATTTTTCGGTCATTTTAATACACTACAGGTACAGTAGAGAGCGAGCTCTAGCGGCTACAGTAAAACTATGCCCATGGTTCGTTTTGTCGTACCAAAAAACCCTTGTATACCAATTTTCACTGTTATACATCAAATGTTGTTCGAAATATTTAAAAAAAACTATTTTAGAAAGTAAATTTAAACACCCTGTATTTCGGAAGCCACGCATTTTTCGACCTATGTTTATATAGACTTTATGCATTAATTTTAAAAGTTCTATCGAATCTTAAAGTTATGCAACAATAAACTGAAACACCCTGTAGCTGCTCTTATAACGGAATATGTTGTCAAAATTTCAATTCTATGTAGCAAATATTGCCATCTTCAAAATACTCAAAATTATTTTGTACCATATAAACCTAGGTTCGGCAATCAAACGCAGCATGCCAAAGCGGGGATTTCGCGACAGCTGTGGTCCTTTATACGGATGCCCTACAGCTGGACCCCACAAACCACATCCTGTACTCCAATAGATCGGCTGCCAGGTTGAAGCAGGGCCTCTTCTCCCAGGCGCTGCAAGATGCCCTAGCCGCGAGGGAGCTTTGCCCTACGTGGCCCAAGGCATACTACAGGTAAGTTTCTTGATCCTTCATTGCAAAAGTTCTTCACCTGCCCTAAAAGTCAAGTTGGATAAACGTTTTCAGACACTGTGGTGGCAAATGCAAACATCACTTACCATGCTCGGTCTAAATCTAAATGCTACAACTTTGGATCGAAAACGAATTGGAGTAAGACAACTCTCGATTAATTTGCAGAGAAGAAGAAGAAGAATAAGACTGTATGCGTCAATTTTTGATTGTGGTTGAGACCTGGATCTACCACTAGGGCCGTAAATTACGACCGTAGAGTGGACTCAACCCAAATTGTCTGAAAATATTATGACATCCTTACTTTTTTGGAATGGAAAAGGAATATGTTCGATAGGTTACCTACAGACTAGTAAAACTAACTAACAGTAGATGTTTATTTTAACCTTCTCTGTGAAAATTCGTGAAAAACATCAGGTTTCGGTTCCATCGGAACAATGCACCTACACACACAAAAACGCTCCAACTCCGGAAGTTATTACAGCCGTAGCCACCAGGGAAGGGATATACACCGATTAAATAGAAAATCACTGGAAAAAAATTATTACAATAATGTCCAGAAATTTTTGAAATCAGGTATTACAATGCTCGAATAATTTAGAATAAGAAGCAGACGTCTGACGTAAAATCTTGCAGTGGTTAAAAATTGGATGCTTGGAGTTGAGGTGTGGTATATGTCATTTGTTATTTTATTATTATTTAATTTAATACTTTTTTCAACGAATCACTTTATCAGTGACATGGAATGCGCCATACAAATAAAAGACTAGAATACATACGGATCTGTAAGTAAAAACAGATAATAAAATAAAATATGATTTAGTTTAGGTTTGAATAATTTTAAAAATGTGTGATTGACCTTGCTACCGAAAAGTTAATGTCGAATATTGTAGTTCTGCAAATCAGAATATCTCCTTAATTTATGTTTATCAAACAATAACTTTAATATACAGCGTGATTTTCCAAGGTGACTCACCCCCATAATTTTTTCATTATTGAAGGTAGAAAAACGGAATTTTGGGGTTGCGTATTATAGATGAATTTACATTTTTTGACATATTCACTTGCTTTGACATACTTCCGGTTTGACCAGAAACGACGGCGACTTTCGATTTTTAAATGAGACACCCTATATATTTTAGCTTATTTCGATCGAGAATGACATTCTCAACTCAACAATGCCTCACTTGTCAATATTTGACAAAGAAGGTCATTTTTATTTCAATTTTTATTTTTTTATTGTTCGGTCTAGAATGCCGTGCATTCTGTAAATCGCTTCATTTCTGATCAAGTAACACGATTCTCAGGCGAACGACCTTACAGTCGTTTTAAAGATTTTCTTAAAGTTACAAACACATTTTTTTTCAATTTACTTGATTTTTTCAAACAGGAAGGGACTTATTCTAAGAGTCCATTTTCTTGCGAATAATTTGACACTACATACTCTTACTGTATTTCCACTATTTTTCTGAATAATTGTAAGAAACGATCATACCCAAGAACAAATTAATGATACGTATGTGAATTCGGTATACTTATGCACTAAGTGCTATTATTCTAGTTGTAGATGACAGGCAATTGAAGGTGTTGCTTTCAAAATACAAAATGTGCAACGAACAAGAAGAAAATATGAATAACTTTATCGTCAGTGAAGAAAAAGAAATGGACGTATTGGCCGATGTTGGAGTAAGCTATACAAATAAGTTAAATACTCGTACATATCCTATCACTGGCATTTTCTTCTGGTTCATTTCGCATTTCCTGTTCCAGTTTTGTAAAATAATGCCGAGTGGCATGGCGACGATTGGAGAATCTCTGAGAATGCATTCCAGCTGCCTCAGTTGTATTTTATTTTACTTCCCCGTTAATCAACAGCATGTGAATTTTCTCGTTTCTAGTAAGGTTTTCCATTGTAAATTAGCTATGTAAAAAAACAATTTTTAAAACTGACTGGTTTTTTTTTAATAGCATAGATTAGGTATTTGCTTAAGTAAATCTAGCAACACCTTTAAATTACAGGATGCATGGTATTTTAGATAGAAAAATAAAAATTGAAATAAAAATTACCTTATTTGTCAAATATTGACAACTGAGGCGTTGTTGAGTTCAGAATGTCATTCTCAATCGAAATAAGTAGAAATATATAGGGTGTCCCATTTAAAAATCGAAAGTTGGAGTCGTTTCCGGTCAAACCAGAAGTACGTCAACGCAAGTGAATATGTCAAAAAATGTAAATTCACCTATAATATGCAACCTCTAAATTTCGATTTTCTATCTTCAATAATAAAAAAGCTGTAGAGGTGAGCCACCTTGGAGAATCACCCGTTATAGATTGTCGTAACTGTCAAAATGTGATATCGACTGAACACATCTCTACATGTAGATTGACATGGAGTATAAAAAATTAGCCTTACAATTGACTTTAGAAGCACAAATACAGGCTGAACGTCCCTAGTTTGTCCCCATAATACTATACATTAAGAGATAGCTGAGTAAGATGTTGCATAATAAATATCTATTAACCCTCTATATTTAAGAGATTTCTTAGGGAATTTATCAGATAATGACTTTTACTTACACTGAGTTTATATTACCGACACATGAGATATGTGAATCCAAAGAAGTACCCTTATTTAGTGCTATGAGTTTCATTCTTCCGGATATTTGCCTTTAAACTTGAATGATAGAGATATATTTTCGATATAGGGATAACTGAGGAGCGATGATGCGTCCTTCCGTGTACACAACGTCGTGCTGGATTTGCGAGTACCGAGGCAGGCATAGTTGCCAAGTTGCTGAGTGGTAGAAAGGTCGGTAGGGTAAATCACAATGCTCCCTTGTTATCCACGTTCGTAGTCAGCTTTCTTCCAAATCTCTTGTGCAGAATATAATTTTTTATGAATTGTTGTCAGCATTGCGTAGGAACCTACTTGACGCCATTTTCATTCTTATAGATGGGCAAGTCTGTTTCGTGCGAAAAAATCGGATATGTAATTGACTCCGTACATAAAGTCTGAATTTCATGCGTCCCTGCCTTCATGTAGCCTTTAATTACCAAAATGCATGAAAGTGGTTATATTCTATATGCATGATAGCATGATCCTCACGATTGTTCATATCTTGTTTTCCCACGGAGAAACATCCATGTTTAGTGATAATGCCGGAATACTGTTAATTATTGGCGAGAATCCATACTGAAGATATGAATGTATGTAGGTAGTTGCTGTATTTTGATGAAGCAATTAACGTTATGGAAATACGTGTACACGTCGTTAGGAGACATGGATTTGTCCTAACAAGGTTCATTATAAAAGAAACACGCTGTATTTTATTGCATATAAAACGGCGTAGCTGCTGGGTGATGAGAGTATATCAATATTCAAAGACATTGTAGTATCTGTTCAGCAACGGTAATCAGATAAAATATTAATTTATTGAGCAAATAAACCAAATACGAGTATGGTGATTGCTTGACATTAAAGCGCGTACCTATGTAAATACAGTCTGAGAAAATTTCATTTTTACGCAGAGTTTTGATTTATTCATAATCGAAATTACATATACTAAGTGGCATATAACAAAGAACACAATAATAATAAATTTATTAGTATATGGCAAAAAACGCTCAGCTTTTCAACCATATCAGTAAAGTGGTTTTTGTGATATCGTCTGTTCTTAGAAAAAGTAAGTAAGCAATAGTTGTGTTTTGTAGCTACAATACGTTATGAAGAGCAGCTTTAACACTATATGTTCATTAAGGTGGGATTCCACTGAGGCAACAGTGAACGACATGTGGCATGCTACTTGGATCCTAGTGTTGCCTCTTGTTGACGTTCGTCAGTGTTGCCCAAAATTCTATTAATGCCGCACGCCGATTTTGTTCCCCTATGTGTCGTGCGCAGTGGCGGCCCGTGGCAAAATAAAACAGGTGTTCTGCAAATCCGAACTTACCTATTTTTTATATGCCAGTTCGATCCTGCGCTGCTTCTTGGCAGCAGATTTGTCGATCACCTTCCCGTTGAAATTTTCCATGGTCGAAATAAATTCCTTTTCAATGGACAGCATCAACAACGCTGTAAGGCGATCCTGGGTCATAGTATTACGAAGAAAAGTCTGGATTCTTTTCAATGTTGAGAAATTTCGCTCAGCCTCTGATGTTGACATAGGAGTTGTAACAATAATTTCTAATAGCTTTTTTGTTTCTTTTGGTGTTTCCTCCAAACTATTTTGTATCAAAAATTTCAAAAAAGACAGAGTTCCATGTAAATCTCGGCAATCATTCCGTGCATAAATAACAGACAACTCTGTCTTTAAACGACTTTTTTCTAATTCGCGATAAGCCAAGCAGGTAGTTTCCAATTGTCATCAGGAAACTTACCACAGTATTCTCCAAAGTGTTCGGGGAAAAAAGGGATGCGGCTACCAAATGATCTTTGAATTGAAATCTGTCATTTGCAGAATTCACTATATTGTCGCATACTTCTAATGCGGTAACTCGGTGATCGTGACTGCTATTATTACGTCGTATCCTTTTGTTGCCTTGGGGTTCAGTGCAAATACTTTTGGCTTCATTTCTTATGTCATCAATTTTATTTCTCACATCGACAATACATTTTTCAAAATTATCTATAGCCGTTTTAACTTGCGCTGGCTCGGTTTTTCTCTTCTGCAACTGGTTGAACAAGATGTCGACGTGAGGCATGACATGATGAAAAAATGTCAACCAAAACACGAAAACAGAATCGTTTAACATACGGTGAATACCGTTTAACATACCGAATGCCTTGCAAACGGTTTCATTAGTGAACTTTTCTTCTATTTCTTCCATGCATTAAATGAGTGATTCTCTGTTCTCAAACACTACATTTATTGTTCGATGCGCATAGCAATGCACATAGTAAGCAAATGGATATCTTTCTTTAATTTTTGTGTGTACTCCAGCATTATGTCCGCTCATTGCCGCGGTTCCATCATAGCTTTGTGAA